TACTCGGCGATGGAAGTGATAATATATTATTATCTCTCAAGTGGTTATAGAGTTTGGTACTTTTGATTTTCATCAGTATACACTCATAAATCCAATCTAAAGTATATCTGTTTCCAGTTCCCTTTGTTTTGGCAGCTTTAATGCATGCTCCAATCATTTCTTGTTGGGGTTTTGGTAGATCCTTGGTAAACGATTCGACTCTGTGCTCGTCAACTATCTCCTTTTTTAAGTTCAGTATAACGTTTTTGAAGTGCCTGTTTTGTTTTTTGTTATATACCAAGTTTTTCATTTTATTTCTTTTCAGAATCTTTCGTTTATTTTCCTTATTTTTATTTGATTTCAAAAAGAATTTGTAACTTGAACAAGGTTTACATAAGACCATTTTACGTTCAATAATTACAGAACAAGATTTGCTTATTCCTTCACATATTTTACTCTTATCCAATTGTGAAATAAGGTCCATTAAATCTGATATAGTTTTCACTGGCTCATTGAGATCTACCCACATATGTTTAACTTGGACTTTTATTGTTTGTTTTGTCACAAGCACAAGTCTGTCAATAGAAACAGTATTGTCTCCAATAATCATTTTTGAAAATGAAAATGTATCCACTAATTTATGAATGCCCCAGGCAAGAGGAAGTGGAATGGAAAAGAGGTCAATTTTCATCAGAGTTTCGAATAATGTGTCTATTTCTGGTATGGTAGATGGATGAGGAGATGGAAGGGAGTAATTATGAAATTTTTCAATTTCCTGGATACATGATTGGGACGTGGAAGCCTCTTGAGGAAAAATACTGGGACAATCTTCAATATTTTCAATATTACAGAGTCTGCAAAAGGGAGGAAGTGAATTCAAAGTCAACATTATTGAAAAGTAATTTTTATCAGTGATAAGATAAATCTACATTACATGACCTGCAACTTGAGAACAGGGTATTTGGATATGCCCTAACAATATTCACAAAATGTTGATTATGCCTGCTGGTGCTTTTATCATTGAAATAATAATTTTGAAAAACCATTGAGAACAAAATCATGATTGTATTAAAATCTTTAAATAGCCAATACCAGACAATACCAGATATCATCTATCAATAAAGTCTGCACATCTACCTAATGGTTGAATTATTGAACTGAAACCAATCCACTATCCACTTGACTGCTTTGAATATTCTCATGAGATTTACTTTAATTGATTTTTTTAGGTAAGTACTTGGATATATTCATTGATTTGATCGAATAAAAAGGTGAAATAAAATGTGTTTGAAGTCCTAGTATTTTTTATTATCAATTTCTCTTAATTCTCAGTTAACATTTTTAAAAGATATGAATGACCTAACTTTAAACTACCCAAATATTAAAGTTAGGGAATGTTGGAGGTTTATACCTTATAACAAATATCCAAATTACTTGGATGGAAATTGATGACTTTCTGAAAGTATATAGTTTAGATTTTGAAATAAAATGGAACTTTACCACACCCACAAATTGCCCAAAGCCAAAAACTGAAAATGCAAATCTCAGATATCATTTTTCAGTCGTTTTGCTAGTTACCTATGTTAAAAAAAATCAATTTTGCTTAGAAGTTAGTTGACTAACTGAAAACTATGTTCAGATATCTGACAACATCTATCTATGAAGGAAAGATCATTATTTACTCTTAGCAAACTTCAACATCAACATACCTAGAATACAAATGAAAGGAATGTATATTTGATACTCGCATTCATAGTTTCAGGCCTTGCAGAACTTTTTTTGTGAAGAATGACATTTTATTTTTGATGTTTGAAAGACGTTTTCAAATCCATTAAACTTTTTCTCATAGCAAATTTTTGAAATTTTCGAAAATATTGATACTCTACCCAAGGACAACATTGATATTTCTTGACATACCTCGTATATGACTGAAAAAAATTCAATATTTGCATTCACAGTTTTTAGCCTTACAGAACTTCTCATGAGTAATGGCCTATTTCTTCTGAATTTGTTAATACCAGTTTTCCATTTGTGCCAACTTTTTCAGAATGATATAATACCTATTCCTTTAAACTTTAAACATTTGATCAAAACATTTTTTTCATCAAAAGAACTGGCTATGCAATTTGAGAACAATAGTTAATGCACTGTATACCAGAAGTTATGTCAATAGAAGAAATGTGGTAAGTATCTACAAAAATTAGAAAGTTATGAAAGTTCGGAATGAAGAAACCTAAGTATTAAACTGATTTATCAATTCAATGGAATTGCAGTTGAATAAAGAAATTATGATTCATGCCCATACATTCATTGAGAGAACTTAACTATGCTACTCTTGACCAAGTACCTGCACCTATACTCACTTGAGTGGATGCTTACTGATAGAAATATGAAACAATCTTTCCCAAGTAGGTTTGAAAAGTTAACAGTAAGTAACCTCTAGCATGAGGCTATTGATATGGATTAATCATAGATCTGTAGGAATCTAAAGGAAAGTTCTGTTTGCTAAAGATGGCAATTATCTGATATTGACTGATCTGAAAAATGACTTATTTGCTATAGCTATGAATATTTACTGTTTTAAAGGCACTGCTCCTTTTCTCAGCCTCATATTGCCTAAAGATTCTGGGGGGAAATGACTGGAACATATTCGAAAATCACCAGGTGGCAAGAATTTTCCAACTGCATCAGACCATTTTCGTCTGATTTCATCGTCCTACATAAAAAATAAAAATATACATACCAAATTACATGTGTGTTTCATTTGGAATATATGAAGATATTAACCTTCGGGATTCTGAACAGGTGAACACAACTATCTCTGGATTTTCCACAAACAATACAAAAATACATTGTTCAAAATGAAAAAACACAACACGAACACAACAACAACAATACTGAACTAGGAGAACTACAAACAAAAACTACTGAAAAACGGGAAAACACACAATAAATAACGCCTAAAATACCAAAAGTCACAATAATATTCAAAAATGCCGTGGATAGATAAATGATGTTGGATCTCAACTAAAAATCTCTTCTTCTTCTTCTTCTTATTTTGTATTTCTTGGTTTTCTGACTCCTTGCGGTGTCAATTTCACCAGATCAGGTGGGTTTGTTTCCAGTAGAGTCCAAGGACTCTAGTTTCCAGGTGCTGATATTTATACTTGGGATTTTTGGATTTATGGGTAAAAATCTCAACCTCAAATTCCAAATTGACAATGACAATAATTGACTGTCGCGCTAACTACCGGCCATTCTCCGAAACATCACTGGGTTTACTTTTCCATCGATTCGTTTGGGATAAAAACAAATGAAGAATGACCACACCATAGTTACTTCCATCAATCGTTACTGAAACGTGATGTCAAAGTCAAAAAGCCCAAAATTTTTCCGTATAGCCGTAAAGGCTGTGGCCCGTTTCATCTAAAATATTCGAAAAAAATTATGTAAAATATTTAACAAATAGAAAATCTAAAGTTTTAGAGATGCAGACTTTCGTTTTTTCACTCTCAATGTGGGACTTTACGACCAATTCTTACATTGACGAAGAAGATATCGTATGAAGAGGCCAAATGACAGGAAAAGAAGAAGTATATTCTTCAGTTCTACCAACTCTGACCTCAAGTTTTAGTAACACGATGAGGTGGACAAGACAATAAATAATGTTACCCCTCATTATCGAAAACCATCGAAAACTTATTGCTTTGTATCAATCATTGTCTGCTAAATATGGTGAGCTGTAACTACTGGTCTGCTGTATAGCTCAGTTGAGTGTATGACCACCAGAGGATGTTACGTTACCGTATCGGACGAAATGATCTTCACTTTTTTCTAGAAAATGTTCGAAATTTGTGGTTATGTAAGTTGTCAGTGTCAAGAGCTGTCGCCATTGTGACTTGTATTGTATTTTTTCCTAAAGAAATCTTTCTTCTTCAATTCTCATTGTTCTAATCTTCCTTTTGTTTATAGATATAGTGTTGTGCTCCCAGTATTAAAATAGTTCATTCTGGTTGATAATTTGTTACAAACTCCTTCTCAATTGTGCCTACCAGGAAGAGTGAAACCGTCTCTATTCTTGGATTTCCAAGTGAGACATAAGTGGATACATTCGATATTGAGTGTTACAGGTTCATTACAAATAAGATAATCAGAGCCCTGATCAAAAGCTAATAATCGATACTACTGATTCTACCTCTCATTTAATTTAGGTGTTGAGCGTTACGAAATTGGGGACTATTGTAGTTTCTGTAGCAACCATTTTGAGAAGGAATGATTTTGATTTTTGAGTTTCTGAGTGACTATGTAGTGATACTGAACTCAAACTCACTGAACAAACGCCGCCAACCGAGACTGCCGAGAGCACCGCTAAGAGAGCTGCTCAACTCCTTTACGATTTTCAAGGTTATGTAGCTTTGACAGAAAAACAATTGAAATAAGTGTTTCTTCGAGTTGACCGTATGGCGGCACTACTGTATCGGCCAGGTGATTTTCCTTTTTTGAGCAGACCAGATACTACAGCTCACTAGATTTTTTCTCTACATATCAATCAATGAGAGAATTATTGACAATAAACATGATAACTATTCCGGGTGACACATACTCATGGTATACCCCCCTTTTCTGGTTCCCTTTGTGTAACTAATTTTTGAAATTTGTACATTGAATTTGTTCACTAGAGGCACTTTTTCACATTTTAAGAATTCTACTCATCTTCCGGTTTTCCTTGAAACGACTCCAACGAAAATCGGAAATTGATGTCATTTCCAGGAAAATCGGAAAATACAAAACATAAAATGTGAGAAAGTGCCCACTTGAGAATATTAGATGTGGCAAATTTCAGGAATATAGCTAGAAAAACAAAGGTGAAAAGGGTATACCACGAGTCTGTCACCGGTTATAAGAGGGTTTATATAGAAAACAAAAACGAATAAAACATTACAATGTTAAATATACTTTCTAAATATCAATATAAGTTAACATATTGGTAGCCAGATAATCAAAGAAAAAAACATGCAGTTTGATCGAAATTAATATTTCTAAATATATTACATGAACATTACATATTCCCGAAGCAACAATTTCAAATTCCATCTCATTTGGAGCCTATATACAGCAAGTAAAATACAACCTCAAAAACAATGAAATCAATGTTGAACAAAGCTGGCCACCCACTATCATTTGAAAATGTATGTAAACTGGTGGGTCAATCAAGTCGAGAACGTGGATGGAAAGCTTCAAAACAATTACAAACACTCGTAATTTTTTTAAGCATATTTATTATTCGTCGAAATTCTGCGACAGCAAGAAATTGGCGGCCAGATTTTCGTTCTTCTCGCAAGCAAAGTACGCCTGCACCACGAGGTGTTCGGGGAAGCCCAGCGCTTTCAGCCTCTCGATGGCGTCCTTGTCTTGGGGCGTCACTTGGATCATGCCGGCCGGAGGAGCCCCGGCGGCTGCTGGCGAGCCCAGGGAGGCTCCCCCTGAAAGATGTCAGTGATTAGCATCCGAGAACTTTTTACGCCCACAGGCAAAATAAACCAGCCAGAAAATATTTATACTGACTATTCCACTCTTGATCTGGAGAACCAATCAGAATCGACCATTTTCACGGTTTCTTCTGTATTCTAGCGATATTTTTTGTATTTTTTCATTAAATTTTATCGGACTTGCTCTACCAATACAGAAGCCGAATTGACCCACACGTGACCAACAAACCTCGTTTATCAGCGATAAAATGTTGACATCATGTCTGGTCAAGATTGCTTTGGATTCAAATCTGAGACAATAAACAATAAACTAAGTTTCCTATATTGGGGTTCTTATTTTATTCTGAAGTTTATAAAAAATTAATAAATACGTATTTTTTCTTTCATTCCTAAGATCAAATTTCACTTCAGAAAAAAATAAATAAACGGGTAACTTGGCTCCTCCACCATTCCTATGGCGTACTTTCTGAAAACACACATTCATACAGAGTTAAAATTCGATTCTCTCTGGAAATTGATCTTTGAATGCATAACTATAATACAGCAATGGGATATAATAGGTTCTTCAATCCTACTTTGTCAGATATTATGAATAATTTCCATGAATCTTTCATTGGCTAAATGAAGTTGATTACTAATGAAGACAAATTATGATATTTTGCGATAGTATCTATAATTTTTCACTATTGTTATATTACAATATGTTTTTCATGACTTGTCAGTCATTTTTTTTGCTAATGAATTCGGTCCTTAATAAAACGGATATATTTTCTAGGAAAGTTGCAGATTATATCTTGCAACAGCGCCTAATACTTCAAGTCCGTCCGCACCACTCAAAATACTGACAGGCATAGCAAGAGGAAGGAGCCATGGGTGTTGGCTTCATTCTGTTCTGACCGATGACAGTAAATTATGAATGATAGTATCATGGAATGTAGCCGATAGTGATTCATTGATTCAATGATATTCTCGTTTAGGAACGAGCTCTATTTGAGATATTTCTATGCATAAATAACAAAACCATAACCTGCCAGAATGAAGCCAACTACCCTCTGCATTCCTGCTCCGAGTGCATTTGTGGTTATGCATGTTTTTATTTACCAGTTTTACTTCTTTTTTTTTTCATTCGTTTTTCATTCTTTAGCTATTTGCCAGCTATATTCCTCACCATCAGCTATTTTCAGACTAGATTCAGAATATACGTCACAGTTTACCGCCCCGAAAATTAGAAATTGCTTCAATTCGAAAATAAAAACGACTTGTACTTTATCGGTCGCCATTCTGTACAGCGTGGACATAAAACCGGAGACTTCCGAACTCATTGCCTTACCGGTCGGTAGGGCTCCGGCGGCGGGATTGGGCGCCCCGGCGGCCGGTTCGTTCAGCATGCGCACGAACGACTCCTGGTTCTGGGAAATCAGCTGCAAGAGAGCGGGGTTCGTCTGACCGATCTGCTGCAGCACGGCGTTCAGCAGCTGCGGGTTCTGCTGGATGACCTGCCGCATCTGCTGGAACTGCGGCTGCGTGCGCAGGAAGGCCAGTTGATCTTCCGGATCGGACTGTCTCTCATCCACACCCGACATGTCGGCAGATTCGTTAACCTGATGGAAATAGTCAAGGATAATGTTAATGCGTATGTCGATAGTTAGCTAGTTAGTAGGCGAGAGATATACTGTCTGTTCATTGACCCAAAATTTGTCTGCCTGTCGATGACGTTGCGATGACATTCAAAACTCTGGAAAAACATTCATAACTCCCCTGCGCATAGATTGTAAGTTAGACATGTTTTCCTGTAGATTTGAATGCCATCGCAACGGCATCTAATGGTCTTGGCTGAGATGATTGTAATTCTTCTGGTGTGTCCACTCCTGTGGTCCACTCTTCAATTGTTTCGTCAGACTAAGAACAACATGTATCATGTATGTACTATTTCTATTTATGGCCCATCGCCTATACGATATCTCAACAAAAATAGGACCAAAATGAGAGGTACTTTTTGAATCTATAAGGACGGAAAGTGAAGGATGGAAACAGCCATATTGGTTTGACAAGTTTCGTATTATTTTTTCCCTACGTCGGCATCAACGCCTATTGGTCGATTTTGTTACCTATAGAGACAGAAGATGGTCCCGCTTTGAGGACAGCTATACTTCATATATGAGTAGTAGATATATGAAGAACAATAATTGAATGCGAGTTCGGAACTTGGGGTTCTGATATCCGATGATAGATGGCGCGAAAGATGTACAATTTCTTGGAAACTTTCAAAAGGCTTATTCTGAAGTTGAACTAGACTTTCAAGAATGTGTTTTCTTTCTTCCGGGACCCGAAGAGTCCCGTTGATGATGCACGAATTCAATAATAGCCTAATAGAAGCATCCAGAAGGGACGCAACAGAAACAGGGCGCAACAAATAATCCGTGCGGAAACATCTTGACGCGAACTTGATCCGTTGATCGTGATTCGACATATCTGTCACGAGTGTCACATTTTCGGCATTTTGTTCAAATTTCAAATAGAACAATAAAACACTCATGAATGTTATTATATTAGGTAGTTGAGTGAGTGGATTGTGCTTTCATCATGGACTGACCATGCTGCGATGTGTGAGAATTATTTGAAAAAAAAATATATATTTTATGTACCAAAAGTCAGTAAATAAACTATTATCAAAGAACTTTCTTGAGTTAGGACTTCGTGTCATTCATGAATTCACCACTGAAAGTAAAAAAGGTAAAACTGCATTTAGCATGCGATGGTTTTTTTTTCGAAAATTTTTTTTGGTACTTACGTATTTTTGTCTGAAAAACACGAATTTAATAATGAAAATGTGAACAAACCATTATTTATCAATATATTTCACTATAAAGTTACAAATTTCACCTTCTTTTCCGCCTGCCTTCTGGAATTTGAAACACTTCTTTTTTCATCATTGGACAATTTATATATCACAATGTAAGACACATTTTTTTCTATTATTGAGTCAACTAGAAATATGATTTTCTTGTGATTTATCCATATTTATTGAAAAGAAGGAAGAATATCATTTGAAATAATGGCTTGTGTAATGTCATTCCAAAGCAATCTATTGACATTTGACATCTCGTATTTGGATTGCCTATGGATAAAATGGCCGTCATCTGGTATGCTTGCTCACTAAATAGGAAAAACTCGCCATAAAAATCATATTTCCTGTTAAATTTTCTGTATAAAAATGTGCCATTGAAGTACATCATGAGTATATAAAGTGTTCAATGACAAAATAAGAAGAGCAAGTACCTGAAAATGCATCCAACGCAAGGGGAAAAAGGAGTCGAAATTTCGAACTTTTTTTTGAAATATCTCGATAAATAGTGGTTTGTTCACATTTTCATTATCAAATTCGTGTTTTTCAGACAAAAATACGTGAGTACCAAAAAAAATTTTCGAAAAAAAAACCATCGCATGCTAAATGCAGTTTTACCGTAGAAAATATAACGCACCGTTTCCAATTACATTTAAAATTGTGAAAATAAAAATGTGAACTTGAATGAATGTATCATGATGCCTGTAAATTTGATTTGAAACTTCGGAAATGTAGCAAGATTCTCCACGCCTCGCTATTTTTACAAAGTAGGCGATATTGAGAGATTTCGAAACTCCTGTCATGCTCCTGTCAATAGGAAGTGATGTGACTTTCTATACATCAATGTCAATGATACTGTTTGAGGATGAAGTTGTCTTCTTCTATTTTTTTCCTCAAGGGTAATCAACCAGTCAACCACATATATTGATAAAAGAGAAGGATATTTTCAACAACTCACGGTAGTCAAGGTCATTATCTGGCGGGAAAACATTCCTAACTCCTGACTTAGATTGAAAGTTAGACATGTTTTGACGACTGGTGCTTGACTGTTGAGTTCCTTTTGTTTTTATTCAACTTGAAATGTATGTATGTTTGCAAGGGTGGATTCTTCACAATAAAATTGTGGAGGCTGAGTTTGGTTTGTCAGTCAGCCCACTGTGATGATTTGTGTAGTTTTAGGCTTTCAAGGATATTTTTCCTTCCTCCCAAGGGTCTTGTTAATAATTCCAAGTTTTTCTATGAGCAAATGTGCATGCGTCCATATTCTATCATGTGATTCACTGTGACCAATCTTTAGGTTCTCGTGTGTGACGTCATTCTAAATCCAATATGGCGGACCATCCATGATGGCAGAGAATAGTTATTTTTAATGCACTTCTACAACATGGGGGCTTGCCGAGAATTAAAAATAATGTGACATCACTCTAAATCTCTAAATTCAATATGGTGCACTATTGAAGTTTTTTGTGCTTTCCTATATTGAGAGGGTTCCCTGAGAATTACAATTAAAAGTAAAAAAACCTAAAAAGCTTTAAATAATAGTTTTTTGTTAATAAGTTTTTCAACTCTTAATTTATTTGAAATATATTTCTCACCATTGTACCTTATATTAATTCATCCAACACTGCCAATGTTCCCAAATTTGGTGGAAAAGTTGTAGTGTCAGGATGTTTGAATGAACAAAAAAAATTGTAGGAAGCCTGTACTACCTGAAATGGTGAATATACCAGGACTGTGAAAGGGTAAATTCTATTTTGCAACTTTTTCATGGACAAATTTTGGTGAGTTTGTCTCTTTTGAAAAAACTTCTCACCTTATCAACAAAGAGTATTAAATTCTATACTACTTAAGAAAAATATTATTGTTCATGCATATTTTACAATATTCAAATGCTTCATTTTGATATTCTTGATGTTTCATCTTGTGTGTGACATTTCAAATATACTGTTTAGTTTGCCATAAAATAACATTGAAACAGTTCAATGTCACATGGAATTCCTTATGAATTCATTTTGCCCTGACTTATCAACACCTGACTAGCTCTCTTTAAAATCCAGTATTATCCTCAACTTTGAGATTATATAGAAAACTTACACCCTGTATAAATTCTATACTTGCCAGAGGTACCCACTGACTAAAAATATCCCTAAACAGTTAGGATGAATTTCAAGAGTATAAACATAATAATAACAAATCATATATCTCCATATTTCTCATATTGCAAGAATAGTGCAAATCCACAGAATCAGACTTCAATAACACTTGAAACAATAAATATTCAGTTGATTATCCTGAACTGTAAGGAAGAGAGATTTTATATAGACTTGTACATACATAAAAGTATACAAAAGATAATAGTTATTTAATCAGGAAAAATAGTCTTCATAAATGGCCAATGAATTTCTCAACAATAAATAAAAATGTATATTTACCGCTTCCTGTTCATCAATGATAGGTATCCCATTAATCAAGTACTCAACAGCTCTATCAGGATTGTTGAAACTTGCCCTCAGTGCCTGTTCAACTTGATCTCTAGCATATCCCATGTCCATGATATTTCTCACCATGGTCTCATACTCCTCTCCCATCAATAAAGTGGATTCTGCAGCACTGCTTACTGTGGATGAAGATTCTGTTGCCACAGGCAAAGCAGGAGCTGTGGGCTGCTCTATAGCAGCTACAGGAATTTGTTGTGCTGGATTGACTGCTGGTGTACTAAAAAAACACAAGAGTTTCAGTTACCTACAGGTCTGAAAACTGGTCTCAAAAAATTCCATCAAACAGAATCTGCTAGGTTAACCCCAATTCTGAGATTCCTGTTTTCTGACCAGTTATCAACTAGGGTAAACACCCCTGAGACTTATCAGGAAATCCCAACCTTTCAGTAGTAGTAGTAGTTGTTGAACTACCATCACCATTGTCTGCTTTCTCTGGTTGCTTTGGTTTAGTGACCATAACAACAATGAACTTCTTTTCATCGATATTGTATTCTGACAGAACCGTTTCATCCATGAGAATTTTTCCTGAAATGAAAATACGTGAGTCATCATGGTCATCGAAATAGAAGCTCAAAATAACCTGCATAGATCAGTCGCTGGTTTTCCGAGGGGTAGTCTTTTCCTTTATCAGTTTCGATCTTCTGTTTTAACTGTTTAACCTACAGGGTAAATGATGTACATTCGCTTATCTGATTTAAAAAAAACACTACACTCATTACTTACCGTTTTTGTCGGTTCAATGTCTATGGTAAACGTTTGTTGTTGAAGATTCTTCAGAGTAACCTTCATTCTGTTGATTCGAAATTAATGAAACAGTCTTCAAAGAAATTGATAACACTGTAATTGATACTTATTTTGCACCCTATTCTCTATTTTCATCAAATATTGTGGTTCGGAAAGATGATAAAGCACAAGTGACAAATTTGGCGGCCATATTACATTGTCAATTGTCATTTGTCAGAAATGTCAGAGCAGGGAGGGACGAAGACATCATTTGAAAATTTGAAGTGCATGAATTCGGTTTGCCCAAATATCCGCGACGACCAATAATCAGTGTTTTTTTTGTTTTCAAGGCTATCCGGCAAAATTTTATCAAATGACTTTTTAATTGACCTCCAGGACGGAACTGAAAAGTTGGCTAGCCCTCTTGCAGCCATAGACCTTTATGAATTCTATGATCTAATCGAAGGTGATTAGGTGATTTTCGATCAAACAAATCACTGTGACCAAAGAGGAGAGGGGACTAACCGACTATTCTTTGCTGTGACTGTGGATGGACTTGGACTCCAGTGACAAACAAGCGTCTACAAACACCGAAGGCTCTCTGAATCCGACGATGTCCGATCACCTTCAAATCATTTTCGGATCATTCGCAGCTGCCTTTCGCGCGCGTTTGATTTTCACAATGATGGAAGTAAGATATGGTGCGCGCATTCGGCCATTATTACGTATTGAAAATTTCAGAAAAATCACTCGACCGGCCTACTATGATTTCTCTACGTCACAACGTCATAATTGTGCAATGTCGCCATCTATGAGAAGATCGACGGAACCATTGCTCTCGCTACTCTCGAGAGGTCGAGTTAAACTTCTGAAACAAAAGCTTATCAGCAATTAATGAGTCCAGTGCCAGTGTGGAATCGTGGACCGTGGACGTGAAGTTTGTCAAGCCTCCCAAAAGTTCCAAGTGCCATAAATCATAAATAAACCTCTATCTTTTCCATACTTCCATAATCCATAGTCGATATTGACTTTGACTTCGAAATTCTTCAACACTTAATACATCGGGATATCCGCCACTACAATGTCTTTGAAACTTTCAAGAAAATCCACATTAATTGGTATGTTGGTGGGTACCGCAGTAATAATGCATTTCAGCAATATTTTAATAAAACCGATGGTCATCAAGGAGAAGCAACAAGTGGATATAAATAAACAAGTGAGACGAGAAACAGAAGAAGGAATTCGCTGATCCCACTGATCGTTATTATTCGATTATAAACTCTTGGGTAATAGAAAATGAGTACTTAATGAATATTTATTAATTGATACCTACCTTCTATCTACTTCATCTAATATTTATAACAAACCTAATTAAAATTCTTCTTCTTCTCTTCACAGTCTTCACTTTGAATTGCCTTAAGCTGCCTGGGTTATCTGGCAAAGTCTGTAATCGAATATCGTAAACCTGGTGGTGCACTGGTTTTGCACCAGCTTTGCACCCGCACTACATTAGTTCTCTCCAAAATGTGAACTGGTGCATTCCCAATGGAATACGAAATAATATAATAATAAAATTATTGTTGAAGGTTGAAATTATTTCTTCACTTCAATTAAAAACAAAGTAGATGTTACATGGAAATAATGTTGAGCACTTTATTTTTTTTTTCATCATTGGATTCCCAAAATATCTCCTTCATTTTCTTGAAACATCCAACTTTTCATCACTATTTGATGACGATGATTGGATTGCCACTAACAATTTGGTTTTCAAACTATTCATATTCAATGTTTCCGCTAAGTTTCCGCCATTTTCAAACTGCACTGACTTCGCACGACCTATTCTCAGTGCGAGCCAGTTTTACCAATGGAATTCGCTATGAATCAAAAATGCCTTAATCCTTGGATTATATGTGAAAGTAGTGGTACTGTGAAAAATGCACATTGTGACTGTGTTGCTGGTTTAGGAGAAATTTGCACACATGTTTCAGCTATATTATTCTCCATTGATAATTCGGTTCGTCCAACATCATCTGTGGAATCAAAATCTGTAACAGTGTGAAAGCTTATTGGGTAGCTCCAAGAGCTCCAAGTAGTAAACCTTCTGCGCTCAGCAAAGTTTTTGATATTGATTTCACAAAACCAGGTTCAAGCAAATCACAATTGGAAGCACATAAAGAAGATGCTAGCTTGAACCAACAAGAGATTGTACAATTTTTGCGAACAATAAAAGATTCTACAAAAAGGGGTAGTGCTCTCCACTCAATTGGCTAAGCTGTTTTCTCTTCTGTTATTGTCTAGAACTGAGGGAATCCTGAAAAATCTGACACTTTCTCCCATTCTAGTACTGCCACAATTCACTACCATACAAAAATTCGGCATATAATTCGGTTGAAATCTGTAGATGTAAATGATAGGCCCTCAAAATCAGAACATTTGGATCACAGATAAATACATTAAATTCAATATGTATAAATTATATCTGCAGTAGAAGTTCAACACCACTATCACAATACAAATAACGAATACTAATAACAACTTATTCGTCAGTAACAAAGCAGTAAAATGAAAGCAAAAATAATTATAAACTCATGAACAGAATACCTCCACACGGTTTGTTTACCCTCCAAGCGTTCGACCTTCAACTTTGTGACGTCAGCCGCAGATGGTCAATTTCCATCAAGGGTCTTTGAGGTCTCTAGTGATATCCACTCCACGGTAGTTCTTCTTCCGAGTTCTTCCACAATTTTTCGGTTATTTACCCGTAAAGGTGAGTGTTCCTGCATCATTGACATTGACATCTACGAGTTACGAATCACAGTGGGTTACTGATCTAAAATCTAAGGTTACGACAGGACAAGAGATCACTGTGGCAGAGGACTATCGAATTCAATGATTCGTCCAGTGTAATGAGATACTACGCAAGATACTACTGATACTACGTTTGCCAGTTTGCCGGGTTTTGATTTTGAAGTTCTTTTGTTTTGTAACGCCCAAAGAGTTGTTTGCAAGCATGATGAAAATTTTGCAAGTTATTTTCTTGAAGTTGTTCAATTCTTCATTGAAAAATGATTAATAACTGGAGGTAGATTATGGTGTTCTACGTGTTTGTTTGATGGTAAGAACAAAGTGGTAAGAATAATAATTACTTTGAAGGTATATTATGTCGAGATTATGGTGTTCTACGTGTTTGGTAAGAATAATAATTATACATCTCTTGCACCATGCTGGGTTAACATATTAGTAACTAGATAGCAAACTCAAACACCGCAGGTGGTATGTTATATTCGTTAATTTTCATCATTTCCAACTACCTCCATCATATTCGATTATTCGGCTAATTCAACTCATCATTTTCGGAAATTCAGTGGTATTCAATCCGTAGGTACCAATATATGAAGGTACCAACACTACCAACCTATACTCACGCCTATACCTGAGGCATCATGAGAGCCTGCTATAAATCCTCTATATTTGTGTACATATACCAGAGTATACCCAACTCACCTTTGAACTTGTATGTATTTACTACTTCTATACCTTGATTACCTAGGTATACCTATTTGTTTTCTGAAATGTGAATATTTTTGTATGAATATAGGTACCTTATCTCCTATACCTACCTATAGCTAAGCCTATAGCTAAGTAATTGATGTATAGTAGATGTAGGTATAGGTACACCCTAGCTATAATAAAGTAGGTAAGTAGGAACAATTTTTGGTACAATAATTATATAGTGAATTACTTTGATATGGGTGCAATTTTTTGAGCTTATTGTAGATATACTTTTATCAGTGAAATCAGTTTGATTTCCATATCATGAAATGTTATAAGTAAGAAAGTAAGCTAGTATATACAGTCATCATTATATCTTCCAATGTTCAATGATGTTTTCCTTTTATGATTCATTTGGATTCATTGATAACTAATTTATTTTCAATGACATTATCTGTGGCAATATGCATTGATGACGATAATGAAATTTTTTACAATTTACTTTTTCAGCCAGTATATGTATAGCCAGGTAATTTTGCACTTATCATGCGATGGTTTTTTTTTCTAAAATTTTTTTTGGTACTTACGTATTTTTGTCTGAAAAACACGAATTTGATATTGAAAATGTGAACAAACCACTATTTATCGAGATATTTCAAGAAAAAGTTCGAAATTTTGCCTTATTTTCCCCCTTGTGTTGGATGCATTTACAGGTACTTGCTCTTTTTATTTTGTCATTGGACACTTCATATACTCATGATGTACTTCAATGACACATTTTAAGCTAGAAAATTCAACAGGAAATATGATTTTTATGGTGAGTTTTTCCTATTTAGTGAGCAAGCATACCAGATGACCGCCATTTAATCGATGGGTAATCCAAATAGGAGATGTCAAATGTCAATAGATTGCTTTGGAATGACATCACACACGCCATCATTTCAAATGATATTCTTCCTTCTTTTCACTAAACATGGATAAATCACAAGAAAATCATATTTCTAGTTGTTCTCATATAATAAAAAATATGTGCCCAACATTGTGTGATATATATAAATTGTCCAATGATGGAAAAAGAAGGGCAAATTGTTCTAAATGCGCCCCAAAGACAGGCGGAAAAGAAGGTGAAATTTGTAACTTTATAGTGAAATATCTCGATAAATAGTGGTTTGTTCACATTTTCAATATCAAATTCGTGTTTTTCAGACAAAAATACGTAAGTACCAAAAAAAATTTTCGAAAAAAAACCCATCGCATGATAAGTGCAAAATTACCAGTATGTCTTTTCTTGTACTTATCTATATACTTCATATTTGAACAATATGAAGTAACTTGTTCATTCTGGTATGTAAGTATAGAGGTCAAAGTAGATTCCCATTGAGTTTTTGAATTTTTTTATTAACATTTATTTTCTAAAACTTCTTCATATATATACAACATGTATATGAATGTTTTGAATAATTTATGGCGATAATTTATGAAGAACAAAGTTGAATAAATAAAGACTCATTCAGAACAAAATATAGACATACCTCTGAAATAATGAAAGAAAATTTTATAATTTGTACATAAATCATCAAGGAGTGGGAGATGAAATTTAAAGATTACTTAATTGACACTTCAAGAGTAAAAACATGTTAGTTTTCTAGGACTTGCCGATTTATATTTTCGTTTTCATTGCTATATTAACTATATCCAGTCTGACAACCACAATAATTCACGTTTTTTTTTCTGAATTTGAAATTGATTATTTCAAATTCGAAAATTATATACCGGGTGACACAGGAGACATGTAACATCTTGTAGGTTTTTCATTTGAAAGGATCGGAAGAAGACCCAACTTTTTTATTTCAAATGGCACCCTGTATATTTCTGTAGTCTATCTTATTTGCCTTGAAATTCTCTATTCAACTATGTTCAACAGTTTTCGAAATATTGGCGAATTAGACATGTTCTCACGTAGTTTTCATGTCATCGCAACATCAGACGTCAGATGATGACCTTGGCTACCACGAATTCAATGTGATTTTATGCTGTTCTTTTTTTTAGCGAGTTGGAATCGAATGGTCATAGATTCACTATAAATTTCAAATTAGTCCAGTCATTATAGACTTTGACCCGTGAATAATTTTTTAGTGGTTTTTTTTTTCATAGGTGTCTCGGGGGGGTCACTGGGAGTTTAAATTCAAAATGGCGACCAAATCAAGCTTTTGCGTATGTTTTTTTTGTTAAAAAACGGTTTTTCTTGAATAACTCGGCCATTTTTGATTCTACAGAAAAAGTTTAGGGACGAAAATTGTAGTAAATTTGGTTCTCTACAGGTTTGGTCCCTACAATTTTTCTGATAGGATCGATATTTTGTAAATTAAACCTGAAAAAAGCGACAAATTCGAAATATTTTCATTATCATTTTCATTTTATTGTATACAACTTTCGCCCTATACGTTGCACCTGCAGAATTGAAAAAGAGGAGATATCGCGAATATTTCTGAATGGGTACATATTTTCTGGTTAAATTCCGAAAATATCGATCTTTGGAAAAACAGGTGAAGACCAAATTTGTTCAAAATTTGATTCTCTACAAGTTTGTTTCTTCTCATTTATGGTGCAAAGTTGAGAATAAACGAGATAATGATGATATTTCGAATGAGTCGTTTTTTTTAGGTTTAATTCCGAAAATATCGATTTTCGGAAAAACAGGTGAAGACCAAATTTGTCCAAAATTTGATTCTCTACAAGTTTGTTTCTTCTCATTTATGGTGTAAAGTTGAGAATAAACGAGATAATGAAAATATTTCGAATTTGTCGCTTTTTTCAGGTTTAATTTACAAAATATCGATCCTATCAGAAAAATTGTTAGGACCAAACTTGTAGAGAACCAAATTTACTATTTCGAATGAGTCGTTTTTTTTTAGGTTTAATTCCGAAAATATCGATTTTCGGAAAAACAGGTGAAGACAAAATTTGTCCAAAATTTGATTCTCTACAAGTTTGTTTCTGTTCATTTATGCCGTAAAGTTGAAAATAAACGAGATAATGAAAATATTTCGAATTTGTCGCTTTTTTCAGGTTTACTTTACAAAATATCGATCCTATCAGAAGAATTGTAGGGACCAAACTTGTAGAGAACCAAATTTACTACAATTTTTGTCCCCAAACTTTTTCTGTAGAATCAAAAATGGTCGAGTTATTCAAGAAAAATACGCAAAAGCTTGATTTGGTCGCCATTTTGAATTTACACTCCCAGTGACCCCCTCGAGACACCTATGAAAAAATAAACCACTAAAAAATTATTCACGGGTAAGGTCCGTTATTTGGATATAATGATAGTAACGACGTAATGAAGAGTGCTAGAATGTAATAGATAGCAATCGAAACCCTGGAAACAATTCACAAATACTCGACTATATCACACTTGATAGAAATGTTCGGGCAGCTCCTGCCGAACGAATACGCGATATTGTGCTGACTTTTATTGCGCTCGGTGAGCAGCTTCTGGAAAATGGGCAGGATCTCGCGGTCGAGCAGCTCGCCCTCGGACGTCGCGTTGCACATGGCCTTGTCGCGCTCGGGCGGCCGCGGCTTGAGGGCGGCCACGTTGGGCGTGCTCTGGAAGTGGCCGGGCTTGTGGGCGGGCGATGGGTGGGCCTTTTTGGCGGGCGGGGATTTTTCGCGCTTGTCGCGCTGCGAGGAGGGGCGGTTGCGTTCGGAGACGGAGCGATGCATGTACGCGTCATCTGGAATAATAATAATAATAATAAATCGACTTTATTCATCAAACCGAGAGGTGTTTGGTGAAGAGGTGGAGTGTCAGCAGAAGCTGTTTTTCAACTCAACCTTTACAACAACAATTACAAAATACAAATAGTGGATGATAAGATACCTTCACATAGGTTTAATATAGTATCGAAAACATTGAATCAAAGAACATAATATCAATAACATAATATCAAGAACAAAATATCAAAAACATAAATGGAGATTCGTGGAGATATTTTTCTTCATTTCAATAACTTTCAAGGAGATGCAGTTTCAATTCAGCCATTACAAGAACAATAATAAATTACATGTAATGGGTGATGAGCTTCATCAGCATATATATAATAAATTATCAAAACAAAAATGAGGATTCTCAAAGAAGCGATAATATCATGAAATATTTATAATGAGAAAAAATTGTTATTTATTATACAAGGGAAAAAAGTAGTAGATTTTAGCTTCAGGTTGTGTTGTCGGAGACAAAAAACCGTGAGCTAAAATCTAATATTTTTCCCGTATATAATACACTATTTTTTACTGTGACAGAAGAAAGGACGAATCAATATTGAGAACATATTACATTATTTTGAAATCTGAAAATTATCGACGTGAAATTTTAAGTTTTTAACAGTAGGGACACCTGCGTTGTAGGCATCTTTATCATTCCTTTGAAGTAATCAAATATCTGATGTCACTTCTGTCAGTCTAATTCTGTGATTTTATTTTAAAAAATTGCGAATTTAGTGGTTGTTTAGTAATATACAGGGTGGCCAACTAAGAATCCAGAGTTCGATACCTCTGTTGTCTTGAGAGATACAAAAAAAAGTTTTGCATTCAAATTAAAGTGATAACCGAGCTTCACATTTAAAAATTTCTTTGAAATACACAGGGTGTTCAGTAAGGTCACAGCCCATCGAAGCTATGTTTTTTTCATTGGAACACCCTATATATTATTTCATTTTTGAATCCTCCCTGAAGATCTGATTTCAACGACGTATCATACTTAGGGTCTAGCAGTAAAAGTTACTGACATATAGGGTGTGCAAAATCGAGATTTTCCAAGTTCAGGATTTTTTTCTGTCGAAACTGTTCATTATTCGTCAAAACGGTTTACATGTCCCTATCTCAACTTTTCACTCACTATCAATTGGTTTTCAACTGACATTTAATTGAAACAAATTATAAATTAAGATTTTTTGACCACCTTGTATCAATTTCAATTGAACACCAATTGATAGTGAGTGAAAAGTTGAGATAGGGACATGTAAACCGTTTTGACGAATAATGAACAGTTTCGACAAAAAAAAATCCTGAACTTGGAAAATCTCGATTTTGCACACCCTATATGTCAGTAACTTTCACTGCTAGACCATAAGTATGATGGGTCGTTGAAATCAGATCTTCAGGGAGAATTCAAAAATGGAATAAAATATAGGGTGTTCCAATGAAAAAAACATAGCTTCGATGTGCTGTGACCTTACGGAACACCCTGTGTATTTCGAAGAAATTTTGAAATGTGAAGCTCGATTATTACTTCAATTCTGATACATGACTTTTTTTTGTATCTCTCAAGACAACAGAGGAATCGAACTCTGGAGTCTTAGTTGGCCACCCTGTACATAACTGCGAAGTCGAATGGAAGATAATCATTGAAAAATACCCCTATAGATACCAAACTCTATTCGGATATCACATCTATTTTGGAATTTATTAACAAAAAACAGAAATAACAATTTTACACTCTGTATCTCAGAAACCAACTTTCGGACATAATATACAGGGTGGCCCACGGTCGATGGTACCTTATACGTATACGGAAAACGGTACATTGGATTATCCTGAAAATTTGGTTACTCTAATAAGCGTTTGTGATCTAACGATTCAAAATATTCTCAGCGATGCAGCGTTGCCACTTTTACCAAAAAGTAGCATCATCTTTGTAATTTCAAATGCAACACCCTGTTTTTCATTGCGTTTTTATATTCCTCTCGAAGAGCTGATTTCATCAATGCATCACACTTGGGGTCTAGCAGGAATTATTACAGAGATATAGGGTGTTTAAAATCGAGATTTTTCAATTTCAGGAATTTTTTGTGTCGAAACTATTCATTATCGATGAAAACGGCTTACATATCCCTATCTTAACTTTTGATTCACTATCTACTGACATTTAATTGGAACAGATACAGGATGATCAAATTTCTGAATCTTGGACCATCCTGTATTTTTTCCAATTAAATGTCGGTAGATAGTTAATCAAAAGTTAATATAGGGACATGTAAGCCGTTTCGACCAATGATGAATAGTTTCGACACAAAAAAATCCTGAAGTTGAAAAATCTCGATTTTGAACACCCTATATCTCTGTAATAATTCCTGCTAGACCCCAAGTGTGATACATTGATGAAATCAGCTCTTCGAGAAGAATCTAAAAACGCAATAAAATACAGGGTGTTCCATTTGAAATTACAAAGATGATGCTACTTTTTGGTAAAAGTGGCAACGCTGCTTCGCTGAAAATATTTTGAATCGTTAGATCACAAACGCTTATTAGAGTAACCAAATTTTCAGGATAATCCAATGTACCGTTTTCCGTATACGTCTAAGGTACCATCGACCGTCGGCCACCCTGTATTTATACGAACTTTTCTTCTTATTTTGACGTCAGCAACATGCTCCTGAATTTTCTACACGTACTCAAGAAACACCCTGTATATCTCACCTTCATCTTGTGCTATGCTTACTCTGCTGCTCTTCTGGTGGCTTTTCGTGCATCTGTGCTGACTCCCGGTGTCCCAAAGCTCGCTTTTGGTCACTATGTGGGTACCACCGTGCTCAGCCTTCTTCTTCGGGGTGGTTTTGTTGCTGGGAGGGTTGCTCTTCAAGCACACAGGCTCGTCTTGCTCCGGCAGCGGCTCCGTTCTCAGGCTCTGTTTCCTTTTCGCTTGGATGTCGGTGTCTAAGGTTCTCGAATGTCTGGAATCGGTCGGAAGAAATTTTTTTTTTTAAATGACTTGTGTCGGAAGAAGGTTTACTGGTAGGTACGAAATAGCTGAAAGGACACATCGAGAAAACAATACCAGCTATACAGGGTAGTCTCAATGGTGAGGCAATTTTTGTAAGATTATCGGGTCGATTCTGTTCGGATCTTGTCGTAACATTGCTAAGATAACGATATTGTTGTGATCATAATGATTCTGTATTCTGTTTGAACAGAAACTGCAAGATTGGTTATTAGTTTAAGTGATAGCAATATTGTTGAAAATTGGAGAATTTTTGAGCTGACAACACCGTTTCTAACTCATTCGTTGAGTAATAGGTACCGTTATTGCCATTATTTTATGAAAAAGAGTTTATATCTAACCTCTTAAATTAGTCTTTCGTGCACTGACATTTTTCAACATTACATTATTCAAATTGACAGATTTTTTTGTATTTATTTTGCTGAATTTGGTCTTCGTTGTGCAAGTGGTGCAAGTAATCAATCATGTCAGTAAATTAGCTACAAGAGAACCCCCGCAATTTTCAAAATTCCAAGTCCTTTTTCCCCAGATTCTACGGAAATTCCGCGATGCGCAGAGGAAAGCCCCATAAGAGCCAATGTAAAGCAGACCAGATTTTTCCCTAGGTCTACGGACTTTTTCAGCGAATTTTAAGCTCAAAAATAGCAAAAACGGTCCCCGTCAAGGTCATCTGACCCCGACGAGCGAGCTCTACTGATAAGAACTGCAATAACACATAGGTTCCAATAACGAGATATATATACAGGACGTTTAAGTTGAATAAAAATTGAAAAATATATACAGGGTGTCCCACAGTTAGACTACCACACTTTAGGTGGGCACATCGAACATATTAGACAAGTAACGTATAACGTATGGCAGATGACGTTTGACAAATGGCCGATGACAGATATCGAAGATCGATGACCCGAAATATGAAAACAACCAAACGACGGATGAAAATGATCGTGAATTTTTTTGGAAAAAACCCGATTCATTGTAGAATTCGTTGAGATGTACAGATCCACCAAATATCGCTTCGATGAGAGTTGCATTACATCGTAGATTATCAGCCAATGTGGCTCGTTCACGAAAATATTGAACTATAGTTAACATGCTTTTGATTTATGCTGAGTGTCGCCAAAGTGCAGCAGCATCAATTCGCTTGTACACAGAAAGGCTTACCTTGAGAAATTATACAACACCGCGAATGTTTTTTTTTAATTTGGAGCAAAGGTGTCGTGACACAGGGTGTTTGAAGAAACAAAGAGGTGAATATGTTGAGAAGGCTTGTACCACCCGAAATAGTAAATACACTAGGACTTTAATAGGGCCTCACCTCTTTGAGAACACCCTGAATATGACTGCTACTGTAAAGTTAATCTTGTATTGGACCATCTATTCGATTTTCCTGTTATAACAACACATGACAATCCCTGTTTTTATGACAATTTGGTTAAGTATCAGAAGATAACCTGATTATACAAGGTGTTTTTGAAATAAGTGTTCATATTCAGCACATTAATATGATTCAGTCCCATGATATCAGATTTTTTCTAATTCGTCTAATTAACGAGAAATTTCATGTCAAAAATTGAACAAAATATCAGACAAAAATCAAGTACGCCACTTTAAAACAATTTAAATGATTGAACTCCGCGTGATTGTGCCTATCGCATGGAAATTTGAAAAGAGGTGACGTCAAATTTGCTAAAGCGTAGAACTTTTGGGTAGAAAAAGGGGTCTAACCTCAAATTTTATTTTGATCCCTAATTTAATATAGTGTCATGCGATAGTACACGTCGATCTTTCTCAGTGTTTGAAATATTTGCACTTATTTCAATGCCATCCTGTAAATCTCTACGTTTCTTGTTATTTTATGACTGTTCTTACCTTCTCTCGTGAGTGGGAGTTTTAGTTTTGTACACTTCCTCTTTTTTACTTTCTGGTTGAATTTCCGGTGGTTTTTCATATTCCGCTTTCGAATTGTCTTTCAAGTTTTCCTTCAAGTTGTCTTTGACGTTGTTGTAGTTATTGTCGACGATTGAATTATCAGTTGTTTGTTTGATTGTTCCATTTAAGTGTTTTTGAGATTCGGCATCTGGTTCAGACGGTTTTGCAATATTTTGCGAAGTCTTTTCGTGCTTTGGCGATTCATTTGTCATCTTCTTCTTTCTGGAATATTCAAGTAAACTATAACACTGTTTAATAGGCATAGCGGTGATTCAGCCTTCCCCCTCCCAATCTTTTTATTTTGAGCATTGCACTGCGCCAATCACATGCCTCCTCAAATCGGTTTGATAGTTGATGGGATCAGTTCAAAAGCTGTTTAAATCTATTCAGAACTGTTTGAAAAGTGCTAATAATGAACACCTGCTTTCAGCTAATCTGAACTATTTCAAATTAATTGTTCTGGTAACCATGAACAGAAAATGCTCTCGAACAGCCTTTGAGCAGTTCTGATCAGCTTTCAAGCAGGTCTCATCAGGTTTTGAACTGCTTTTCATCTGTTTTCATGCGACCTGAAGTGTAATGCTCAAAATGGAAAGAGTGGGGGTTGGCAGACCCACTGCTTGTCCTACTCTTCTCAATCTAGAATTATTTCAGTTGGTTCAGTTATGACTTGAGGTTCTGAAACTTTATACCTACATAATGGTTCTCATTCTGTATTTTTCCTATTCTAGTCTAGTTTTTCTACGCATGTTTTAGCAGTGTGTCATTTCATAGTGGACGTAGATGGACTACATGCTAAGTCCTTGATGTTGTATAGATGAAAATAAAATAAGAAACAATATTAAGTTCGGTTCGAAAAATAATAATATAAAATATATTTCTCCAATTTATCCTTAGAGAGTTTCAATCCTTTCCTACGATTATTTGAAACTATAGCTACTACTCAATTGGTACTCATTACTGAGAGTTTAAGCACCATGCTTGTGTTTTTCAGCTGCCGATAGAATTATGCAGATATCGAGATGGTTATTCGCTGTGTTTTCTCAATATCGACATAATCCTTATGAAACAGTTAAAAAGCTTGCATTCTCACAAAGTTCCCAACCTACTTGATCTTGTGATGGTGATGATTACCAACTTGACTGTAAATAGAAGATAAGTACATGTATTACTCATTCATCTTTATTAGTGATGATATGGTGGTCCCTCAGGGATCCGTACTTGGACCCCTGTTTTTCATCATTTATTTCAATGATCTGATGGCTATTAATCTTGGTCAAATTGTAAAACCAATTTTCTACGCTGATGATGCAACTTATATAGCCACTAGCAAGACCAGTCAAGAATCACTTATTAATCTAGAACAGTCTGAGTCAATATCCAAAGAATGGTTCTGCACAAACTGTCTGACTCTCAATGAAACAAAAACTCGAAATATTTTCTTTTCTACTACAAACAGCAATCACAGCGAACCTGTTAAGCTCTCAGGTATACACTTAGGCTCGAAGTTTGATTTCGGTTATCACACTCAAGATCTATGCAAGCGCTTAGCAAAAGCAACATTTGGAATAAGACAATTAAGGTATCAGCTAGCCATCCAGCATTTAAGGATGGCCTTCTTCGCCTTGTTTCATAGGATACTAACTTACGGACTAATAGTCTGGGGAAACTGTAGTCACAAAGAAAAAGTATTTGTAGTACAAAAGAAAGTAATACGGATCATGAGTTTTAGTAGCTATCATTCTCACTGTAGACCTCTTTTTCCTCCAATACCCTGTTGCTACATAATGGAGTGCCTTCTATTCATTCATTAAAAATGTTCAACAGATGGTGTTGTACGGCACAATCATATACATTCATATTCAACTAGAAACAGTAATGATATCTGCATACCATTCTGTAGAATTAAAGAAAACACAAAATCATATACAGGGTGTAAATTTGAAAACTTTCAATGCGAATATCTCGCGAAAGAAAAAAGTTAGAAAAACGCCGTTTGGCAAAAATGCTGAAGAGTTAAGGGGAACTAGAACCACCATATTTCGGTCAAGGGATGAGTCACCCCGTCGGCGCGACACACCCCAACTTTGAAATGTCAAATGGCACTACCTTTTTTGTGATGCCTCGAATGAACAGTCTCAGTCAGTAGTATTCACCTGTACAAGACTTTTTTTCCACCCACTACAGGGTGTACGAAAAATATAAAGTCGAATAAAATAAAATGAATTGTGTTAAAAGGATATTTTATTCGATCAGATGTTCAAAATGCATTCCATTATGTTGTGAGCAATAGTATAATCGATGTTCAAATGCCATTCTAACATTTTGGAACACATCTCTTGGAATATATCGGCATTCTGCATTTTACTTTAATCGACTTTATGTTTTCCGTTCACCCTGTAGTGGGTGGAAAATAATTCTTGTACAGGTGAATACTACTGACTGAGACCGTTCATTTGAGGTATCACAAAAGAGGTAGTGCCATTTGACATTTCAAAGTTGGGGTGTGTTGCGCTGACAGGGTGACTCATCCCTTCACTGAAATATGGTGGTTCTAGTTCCCCTTAACTCTTTAGGATTTTTGCCATGTGGCGTTTTTCAAAATTTTTTATTTCGCGAGATATTCGCATTGAAAGTTTTCAAATTTACACCCTGTAGATATATCAGTTTACACCCTGTAGATATATCAGTGCTAAGCTCTATAATGCCCTATACCACCACATAAAGGTTTAACTTATTCAGTATTTAAGAAAAAAAAACGTGATATACTGATGTTACATTGTTTTTATTCAGTTGAGGAGTTTCTCCTCCACATACCCTCCTGTATATATACATGCGAGTTAGATGTTAATATTTGAACCATGGATTTATTCTCGTGTGTCATGTTATACTTTACTTTTTTTTAAATTTATATTATTGTAGTGCGTGTGTAGTTTCGATTGTAGAGTGTACCTGTGACGAGTGTAAAATTCTTGTAATTTTATATAAAATAAATGATCAATTATCAATTTACCTGGTGATGAGTGCTAAATGTTTTTCTCTTTCAAAATTTGGCGAATGTTTCCGAAATACGGGAGCTCAAATTAAATATATAAATATAAATAAGAAATAGCATTCGAATTATTGAACTCACTTTTGGCTATCCGTGTGAAGCAAAGAGGTGTAATCCTGAGAACTGAGACTGCAAAGGGACGTTAAGTCACTTGTTTCTGTGGCACTGGGTGCTTCTTTCCGTAGTAGAGGTACCGACAATCTATTCATATCACTGTTCGAATCGGCCCTGGATTCTAGAATATCTTTTGCTTCGTTTCCCAATCTTCTGATCAACATCTGAACCGAAATGAAATAAGTTAGTTGGATAATCTCTCTTCTGCTTTGTTACACTAACACTAATTTCGTCGCACCCCAAAGTTTTGTCCCTGTTAAAATATGAATAATTCTATGTAATTTTCTAGTTCCAAGAATGTGAATCCGTCAAATTTGCCAAGGTACTCCAGGAGCAAGTATAGTAATGACAGTTCTCCAACAACTAATGTACACACCGGATGGAGATTGATTGAACCATTTAGCAACGATATAGAGATCTCCCAAGTAAGTAGATAACCTTATTCGTGACCGCCATAGTTGGCTATGCCATGACTCAGGACTGTGACGTCCAATCGAAATTCTTCACTAAATTTCAAAAGTCACTTATTGGCTCGATATGTACCTGCAGTTCGGATTCTTTATCCAGGAGTGTCTTTCTGTATCTGGAGTTCAATCCTTTGACGTCTTTGATCTTGGTTTCCAGTTCGGATATGCTGGAATCCCTGCGAGTTTTCGACATCGGTCGCAGGGTGGGCCTAAATCTCTTGTCAATGGGTCCACCTGGGTTCCTTCTCAATTCCAGCATTTTCGGTACGAAAACCAGCCATAGAGTTGCCGTCGTGCAAAACATCACGAAAACACCTGAATAACGTACGAAAAATATTGGTAAACATATTTCAGAAATAAACATATGTGGGCCAAACTGGGTGACCCATAAAAACAAGGTTCAAAGAACATCTTGCATATTATAAATATGGTAGATTTGACGAATAAATAGTATATAGCGGAAGATAGATAATATGTTGAACAACAATCATGAACAGGTATCAAAAACCTTGAATTAATCAAACAAGCAGAATTTTAGACTAGGATATCTAGTTGATGTTCTGAAGATGCTTACATGGTTATCGAAACACGGGTCAAAGAATTGAAAAAAATCGGTTCGGATAGCGGTGAAGCAGTGTGGTCACGTGTAGTGTACAAGAAACGAACCAAACTTAATGTCACGTCATAGGATGAGAGGATCGTCAACGGTTTATGATGGTCTAAGAATGATTGTCACATCGAAGCGTTAGCCAAGCAAAAATGATGCAAGTCATTCGTAGGACCAAACCATCTTTTTTTATGTTATTTTTTCACCAACATCATGAATGTTGAACGACTACAAGTCTGTCGAATATCTTGCAACATCTGGCGTACCACAAGGCTCCAATCTGGGGCCACTACTTTTCAACATTTTCATTAACGACATTGGTACTGTTATTGACGTAAATAAATAAATAAAATGTAATCGATCGTTTATACGAGGAATGACCTATCTCGTTAGTCTCGCTACAGGTTATAGAAACGGAACTACGTCACAAGGGGTAAACCACGCCTAATCATGAATGCCACAACCGCTCAGTAACGACTCCATTCGGATAGTTTGATTCGGATTCGCTAATCATTATAATGTGAAAGTTTAACAACATTACAGAAACTAGGAATATTCACCTATAATTAGGAACATGGCGTCCTGATGATCCACCAGTACTAAAGCGACCGCAGCGCCGCAAATGCACATTATGGCAACGTTGTAAACGGAGAGGCCAACATGGCGGCTGTCGTTCAGAGCGGGAATCGACACGTGTCTTGTTTCCCAGGCTAAGAAAGCGCCGAATATCTGTTGAAGAATTTAAATTTACTATAGTTCTATGTTTCATACGGTTTTCCGTCTTGTTACCATCAATAATCCCTTGTATGCGTAAATGGATCCAACAAAAATCGTTTGATGTTCTGAGGCGCAGTACTCGTTTTCTGGGATTATAATGATGTCTTCGTTGGAAGGATGTGGCTAAAAATTGAAGAAATAATGTTATCTATTATAGGTACCAATAATATTATAAAGAAGATAGATTTGTTTGCATTTATTGAATAGGCTCCGAAAATACTGGATTGATTTGGCTGAAAATTGGTGGAGATGTAGCTTAGGACCAGGAGAAGGTTATATTATGATACTTTTTATCCTGGTATCAATAGGAAATTCAAGATGGCGGATCTAATATATCGGACTAGTTTTGTAATTATGGTCCGATTCTATTAAAAATTGAAATCTGGGGGTTTTCGGGGTCGGAGATTATGATTCTTTCGTGAGAATTTGAAAATTCGAGCGGAATTTGGAAATTCAAGATGGCGGAACCAATATGGCGAACGAGTTTTGTAATTATAATCCGATTCTTTTCAAAATTGGTACCTACGGGTTTTCGTGATCGGGGATTATGATTCCTTCGTCAAAAATTAAGATATTCAAGGTGGCGGATGTAAAATGGCGGATTTTGTAATAATTATGAGCCGATTTTATTCAAATTTGGTATCTGGTGATTCTCGGGGTCGGAGATTATGATTCTTTCGTCAAAATTAGGGAATTCAAGATGGCGGACGAGTATCGTAATTATGATCCGACTCTCTTCAAAATTGTTATTTGATCGTTTTCGGGGTCTGGGATAATGATTCTTTTGTCAAAATTTGGAGAGGGCGGGATTTGGAATTCCAAGATGGTAGATCCAATATAGCGGACGAGACAAGTTTCGTAATTATCTTCCGAATCAATTCAAAATTTTCATATGCGGTTTTAGGAGTCGGATATTATGATTCGTCAAAATTGCGACATTCAAGTGAACTAAAATGAAGTTGAAATAAATGGTAGTCTGAAAAACTAAATGAACACGCTTTTATAGATAGCGAAACTAAAAAGAAGTAGAAAATGAAATAATAATAGTATCTTGATGAATATTGAACTAAAAAAATATATTATAGGAATAATTTATATAGCAGACCAAGGTTTGCGAGGTCTGCTAGTACTTATTAAAATAAACCATGCCTACATGTATAAGTATGATGACTGAGACACTGACTGTATCTAAGCGTGAACACATTAGTTTGATTGCTGTATTTCGATCGCATTCCAGAAAGTTACTCACGTATCTCTCCATCTTCTTCGTGTCCCTGTAGAATGGATCGGCCACTTGCCAAGTCGTCATTATGGCCAGATCGATGAACAGCAGGATCCCCACCACCATGAACAGTTGATAGTCCTTGATGACCTTCTTGTTCAACTTGACGTCGGTGAAGATGGAGTGCACCCTCCAAGTCTTGCTGAACATCGCACCGAAGGCCAAAGAGAACCCGGCCATTAGGGTCCAAGCTCTGGCAGTGCATATGTATGGGAAAGCTTCTGGAAAGTTGACAAAACGGTGTTGCTCAGTGTGTTTTTTGGTTCAATAATTCTGATTTCTCCAATTTATATCGAGTTGACCAATAGGAGAGATAACAGGATTCTAATAAGGCTGATAACGAACAGAAATATACAGTCACCTTCCTATGGGACATCTTGGACTAGAGGAAATTGAAGTAGCGGACATACTCGCTAGGAAAAGAGCTCACTTCGTGGGACCAAAACATTTCTGCGGGATCAGGAGCAAAACTGTATCAGGAGAAATCAGTCAAGAAGAAGCTAAACAGAGATTAGATATCTGAGAAAATCTTCAAGGTCTCAGACAGGCTAAGATACTACTGGGTACATATAACCACAAAAGAAGGAACGCATATGTCAGCATAGGCAAAAATAAACTTCATATACTAACGGTTAGGTTAGATCTACGTTGGGTTAGCTCTACGAGTCCTAACATGGCACTGTCGGTTGAAAGGACACCTTAGGAAGCTCTGTTTAGAAGAGGAAAACGAATATGCAGCTTCTGTGGGGAGGATGAGAATGAAACTTCATCAACATGCTTACGGTATGTCCAACCCTACAGAACTCGAGGACAATAAACCTAACAGCACACATGATAGACGAGACAGAGGAGCCACCCCACCTAAAACCACCGTATATCCTGAAATTTCTGAGGGGTATAGAACTATAGAAATTGCTATAGCTACGGAGAACAACCTCATCAGGTATATCAAAGAAGGGGGCATAATAGATTTTTGTGTCGAGGTGGTTGAAATCCTTTATGGACATCATATGGGACTAATCCCCCATTTGATAGTGTGGGAGTCCCCTGACTCCAGGGTATACCCCGTTTGTAGGACCGTCTGACCGATGTCTCCACTTCAATATGAAGGACCATTTTCGGTCAGGTTCCTAAAGATTACTCCTTCGATCTTTCGATCCCAAGATTTCTCTCTCCTACGGGGGAAGGGGTTGGTCCAGAACTCTTATATCCTTCGCCTTTGCTAAAGGAGTCATTGGCACTTATTGTTCTATGTTGTGTTGAAAAACTCGAGATCATTCACCTGAGAGTTGAGAGCCTGTTTCTGGCGATATTTGATTGTGAAATTTTTATATCGTTGAGTTCTTAAGTTTGAAACAAATTCCCGAAGATTGAAAATCGTGCGGAGTTGGGAAGAGAGAGACCTAAAGCATATAGTGAATACTGATTACCTCTGGATATGCTACAAGAACAAATAACTTCTTTATACCTGAAGTGAGAAGACTTGCTTAAGTTCTTTCATCAATAAAAATGCTCTGAAATCTTTTGCCTAGGCGCTGGAAGATTCTTGTTCCCATAATTTGGCAAGAAGAGCAACATTATTTTTGGGAAGATCACGCCTTGGTTATCTATCTGTCTGGTCGTAATACGTGGATATCTTGTGAGAAAAATCTTTTCATGCCTGAATCTAGGAGACTTGGTTAGAACAATCGAATGTTCCGTGGACCCGAGAGGTTATTCTTCGGAATATTTTTGCCTAGAACCCGGATGATTCTTCTAACGAATTAGTCGACTCCTGTATATGCTACAAGAGTGTTTTTCCCACCCCTGAAGGTAGCAGAATGTCCTGTATCTTGTGAGACAATTCTTTTCATGCCTGAATCTAGAAGACTTGGTTAGAACAATCGAATGTTCCGTGGACCCGAGAGGTTATTCTTCGGAATATTTTTGCCTAGAACCCGGATGATTCTTCTAACGAATTAGTCAACTCCTGTATATGCTACAAGAGTGTTTTCCCCACCCCTGAAGGTAGCAGAATGTCCTGTATCTTGTGAGACAATTCTTTTCATGCCTGAATCTAGAAGACTTGGTTAGAACAATCGAATGTTTCGTGGACCCGAGAGGTTATTCTTCGGAATATTTTTGCCAAGAACCCGGATGATTCTTCTAACGAATTAGTCGACTCCTGTATATGCTACAAGAGTATGTTTTCCCCACCCCTGAAGGTAGCAGAATGTCCTGTATCTTGTGAGACAATTCTTTTATGCTTGAATCTAGAAGACTTGGTTAAAACAATCGAATGTTTCGTGGACCCGAGAGGTTATTCTTCGGAATATTTTAGCCTGGAACCTGGAAGATTATTCTAACGATTTAGTCAACTCCTGCATATGCTACAAGAGTGTTTTCCTCGCCCCTGAAGTTAGCAGAATGTCCTATATCATGATGGTGCTTGAAGATGGAAGACTCACGATTTGGTGACACTAGGTTTCCTTCAAGATCACCAGATCAAAGTGAAATTAATCAATTTGAAAATGATACTTACGTATACTCGACAATCCCGAATCCAATCCCAAGAATATGATGCTGGTATAAGTGAGCATACACCCGATTATAATGAGATTGTTCAACTGTGGACTGGACATCTTTATGTAACGCTGGTTCCTGTATTTGATGTTGAATCCCAAGAACACGATCGCCATCAGGATCCCGCATACGGCCAGTGTCGCCAGAATGGCGTAGACCGTTTTGTTCACTCTAGTGTGCTCGATGATAACCAGTGTTCTGTCTTTAGGCGGGTGTCTGAGAAGGAAAGAATATAATGTCTTAGTAGGTATATGAATTTTGTTGGGGAAAACACACTTACCTTCCTATCCATTTTAAGGGTGCGCCAAGCGTCAAATCTAAATGCTGCGTTGCCGCACTGTACTCGCCGACTTTGATCTCTTGTCCTTCTTGGAATTGCTTCAGCAATATGCTGGCCTTACGTTCGTTGTCGTAGAATCTCACTGGACCTGTCACTCCTGGAAATATTCGAATTTGACAGAGATAACACTACCTATTCAGATAGTAGCTGTTTTCATTGATCTAAGAAACGCTTTTGATACAGTGGACCACACAATACTTCTGGATAACTTGGAATTCATAGGAATCTTGGACATAGGACAATCAGTACCAAATCTGCTGATTCTGAGTCTCATAAACTGTTAATGAATAAGGGTGTTCCACAAGGATCTGTTTTAGGACCAATACTGTATCTGCTTTATATTCAAAATATCACGAAAGTTGGGTTAGCGAGTAATTACACCATATATGCAGATGATACAGTGCTTTTATATGAAAACAAAAAACCTCTCATTTTAGAAACTGTGATAAATAACGATCTGAAATTATATGAAAAATGGCTCCACTCTAACCTTTTATCAATAAATACCAGAAAAACTGAATATATGATTTTCAATCAAAAAAATAAACAGAAAATTCAGCTCAATCTTCAAATGGAGAATGAATTCTTGAAACAAACTGAACAGATGAAGTATTTAGGTATTTGGTTTGATGAATAATTGAAGTGGGACAAACAAATTGAGGTTCTGACAAAGAAAATATATACTATTATTGGTGCATTGAGAAGATATCGGAAACTCAATATGAAAATTGCAAATATAGTACTCTTTTCACATATACTAAGTCGAATCAACTATTTAATAATTGTTGGGGGATCTTGTTCTGAAAATTATTTTTATGAAATATCAACATTATATAGGAAATTATTAAAAGTACACCAACAGCTGATCTGTATGCTTTAACAAAAACATGAATGCAAACTTCATTCTCGTAGGAAATCACTATCATTCCGTGCTCGTCGCACAATATACCATATCCGTAGTTGTCCTCAAAAAAATAAACTAATAAGTAATGGGACAGGATGGCATTTTTCTATACGTTATGGTTTATTACCTTCGAAACTGGTGTTGTACAGCGCATCCAAAAACAAACGTTCCCACATGGGATCGTGATATCGAAAATCTGTGACTGTTTCGTTTCGGCGAAAATATTTGACTTTGTGTGCGACATTTTGGATGGCTAAAGCGACAGCCCAAATGCCGTCGTAAGTGTATCCGTGAAATCTGGAATATTCGTTACCCCTCCTGGAGTCGTATTCCATCCTGTATTCGTCAGCTGTCTGAAAATATAAGAAATTCTATTCGAAATCGTGGAATATCGGACTTATAACATTACAGGTCATAATCATCCTGTTTCTCCAACATCATCGATCATGAACCAATTATCATATGTTATAACAGTTCATACTAAGAAGGTATGTACAGGGTGGGCAAAATTGGGCGTTTTCACGGACTATCTCATTAACAAAAAGAGTTATCGAAAAACCGATATACATGTTACGGGTTCGATTTTGAAGAAGCATAAAATGGTGCATTCGGAATTTTGATATCTTCATTCGTTTCAGAGATACAGGAGGAAATTGAAAAATAGCCGATTTCTGTTTTATTTTCTGAGTGCTTTATGGTGAGAAATATTTGGAATTTTCGAAAGTTCATCCATATAGTATGATGCCAACAATCCATTGGCACCATTAGTAATTTTATACAGGGTGAGATTGAAAAGATACGGCATCCAATCATATTTTTTCTTATGGAACTCCCCGTATATTTTGGCACAGTTAGATACTCCCAGGCGTTCTAATTTCAAATATATACCCACCTTTTTCTTCCACAACTTGCATATTCCAGAAATGTCGGTGATTCCATAGCTGCGGGCGAGCAGTGATATCACTGGAGTTATTCCCTCTAGGTCCTCGAGTGTATCATTGGCATCTCTCTCACAGTTGCGAATTTATGAATCCAACCTCAATGATTATTGCGGAAGATACGGAGGTGCAACCATGAAAAATGTGACACACTGAATATATTTTTGCGAATATCTATGAAATTGTGAAAGAAAAAGGTAGAATATATATATTGGAACTCCTGGGACTATCTAACTGTCTAATATAATTGGCTGCCGTATCAATGTAACCCTGTATACAATTTCTAATGATGCCAATGAATTGTTCGCATCATACTATATGAATAAACTTTCCAAAAATCCTCAATAGTCCCCACCATAAAGTACTCAGAAATTAAAAACGAAATCGGCAATTTTTCAATTTCCCCCTGTATCTCTGACACGAATGAATATATCAAAATTCCGAATGCGCCATTTTAGGTTTCTCTTAAATCGAACCCGTAACATGTATATCGGTTTTTCGATAACTCTTTTTGTTATTGAGATAGCCCGTGAAAACGCCCAATTTTGCCCACCCTGTAGGTCATACCAAAAGTGTTTTACTGACAAGGGATGTGTGCCATGGTGTGTCTGTGTCGATTTATTTGCTTTTCACTGACAGTGAACATTGATGCAGTAAATTAAATCAATTGATTTAAGAACAAGACTTGACACATTCCGACGACAATCGCGATGAGGAGCTGCAAAAGAGAACAAGGAGTAGGACCCTTTGCCTTTTCATAAATTGGATGTGAGTAGCGTAAAAGCTGATAATGTTGCTTCAAGGTAATTATTTTGCTGTTGATTACAATGTCACTCACTATTCCAGATATGGTGATTTCTCCGCTAGTCGAAAGAGGTAGCAGATCAGTCAGGATGGTTTGCTCTAAGGCTTCCTCCAATTCCTCCAAGGTGCAGTTGAACTCGGGCTCTATCGACTTCCACCACTCGAAGCCGTAGGTGCCCATGATGATCCACTGGTATTTCCTACCGTACATCTTCAACTTGTGAGCTTCGCAAAAGATTTCTCTCGCCCAAGCCTCATTGAAGTTTCCTAAAAAACAGTTGGGTATGTCAACCTCAACTAGCACTCAAAGGATATTTAGTCACAACAGCAAAATTGTGGCTCATGAATTCGTCATTGGATTTAGCCTGGAAGACCAAATTATGGCTCTAGGTACAATATAGCCATCCCAGTGTAGTCCTAATCTAGCAAACTGGAAGGTGTTATGACGCCGAATAATACATGATGATCTATTCATGTTATAGCCATCTAGTGGCATAGTTCTAAGGTACCAGGTATGCACTGTAGGACGCTACCATCTATAGTCAACACGTGCAGACCCCTACGTCTACAACGTTGCGAAGTGGTACTACGAGTAAACAACTCTGCTAACAGATGGCACTACCTGACTACTTGATTGGGAAAATCCCCCCGACCTATTCATTGAAGTAGATTTCATAACTTAGAGATATAGGATGAACAGAGTTGCCTCAATTGTCGGCAGGAGCAAGATAGTACTGTTTCGGCCAACCAGGCCTCATCAGCCGCTCTGTTTCGCTGCGTTGAGTTGAAGTTTCTGTACTTGGAATGATTTATGACATTCGTTAGAATCTGAGTGGAAAAGGTTTATCTTAATCAGCTGTAAACCTCGCGAACGATGAGAAATTATTGTTAGTTGTTTATTGATAGCTGCTTGATCAACAGTGATACCAATGTGAAAAACGAATCGGATCACCAATTTCAGCATCACACCCTTCCTCGTCAATGAGGTCGCAGGCACTTTTTTGGGATTGGCTATTATTGCGAAATGGCTATCACTTTGGCTTCCTTCGCGTAGTGCATCCCAAAAACTTGGCAATTCGTCTCGTGGGTGATGCCTGGCTCACAAACTCACTCACTTCTCTGGAACACCGTAGAAAAGTTAGCGATCAGGCTCTATTTTATAGATATTTTCATGGACGATGCTCTCGTGAACTATCAACAATTGTTCCTCCCTTGGCAGTCTCCGCGAGATTACCCCGTCGTGTTGAGGCTTCGCACCCCTTCGTGGTCACTTTGGAGACTTGCAGAACATCTCTTTCCAAAGACTCATTCATCCAACGAACAGCGAGGCTCTGGAACACATTTCCAAGGGAGGTGTTCCCCGAGGCATATAACCTCCAGAAATTTAAGAAGAACACTAATTCCTACCTCATTTCCCTTGGTTCTAACGATGTTCTCTGAACATTACAGGATATCCCTTTTCGTGGGAACCAGAACTTAAAAAAAGTAGAAATAATTACCCAGAATGATCCTGGTGTCTTTCTCTTTGAGCTTGGTGAGAGCACTGTTGACTTCGTTGGTGAAGCTCTGCGTTTCCAGGACTTGATAACTCATCGTGTCCAGTTCTGCTACCAACCTAGAAGTGAATTACCGAATTCAAGGACACTTTTCGCTCAATGGAGATCTCCCTACTGACCTGTTGTGTGCCAATGAGTATCTGGGCTCGTTCTGGTAGATAGTCCCGACCTTAGTCCAATTGAACTGTTTGAGCAAAGACAGCCGGGGCGAATTGAAAGCGTTTTCCGATGGAACGATACGGAAAAAGTTCGGGAAGTTTTCCTTGGTGAACATTGGATGAGTATCGGCATAAGAAAGCTGAAATAGAAGTACAAAGTGTAAGCGATTTTGTATCTTGGCAATGGGGAGAGGTGGTTGTTTAATAAATATGGAAAGTTTGAGAATACGTATTTTCTTTAATATACATTTGCTGCTGAAAGTAAGCCTGAGTGGCCACAGAATAATAGAGGTTACATATCAGAAGTGGGATTCGAACCCAATGGGGTGGATATGAACCTGATGAGGATGATCTCCAAATCAATATGGAGTCCAATGGGAAGAAAACGACCTATGTAAGAGAAAAAAGAAGAGTGGTGAAGCCAAGAAGATATGATGATTACCAGTGTGATTAGCTCACGGATTGTTTGTATATTTTGATACTTTGTAAATCTAGCTTTTGTTTAAATTATTTGATGGCAAAATGATATGTTCGTTTTCTTTCATATAATATCTTGGCAACGTGGAGAGGTGGTTGTTAAATAAATACGGAAAGTTGGAGAAGACGTATTTTCTTTAATATACATCTGCCGCTGAAAGTAAGCCTGAGTGGCCACAGAATAATAAAGCTTACAACAGTTTCAGTCCTTGCCTAAAAGAACTGCTCTTGCTCAGGACTGAGTCACCTTATAGTTCTTCGCAAAGGCTGTTTCTACTCATCGGTCTCTCTCGGTCTACTGTCAATTGGCGTGAAAGTCTAATGCTCTTATAATCAAAGTTGTGGAAAAATACAAGAAGCAAGGTCATTGTGTTCATGTATCCGAGATACAAAATGGAAAGAAAAGAGTTTTGCATGGACTTTTTTAGAATTGAAGAGATTTGTTACCTGAGTAAGGTGCCAGTGTTTGGAGGCCTTGGCTATCGGATCTGTCACGTGGGTACATGCTCCTCCGAACAGCATGAGCTTGTTGGGACCGCTGTGCATCATATCGAAGAAGGCCTTGACGCCAACGGCAGCGTTACACTAAAGGATAGATAATAAGATTGAATACTTTGACTAACCAAGCCGATGTATAGTTATTTTGTCATGTGTTTTAATGCCCGTTGCACACAGCATTTTAGGCATGACCAGGCGTAAAGAAGAACTTAATCGCCCCTATTTGCGGATGTAAAGTGACACTTTAGCGCTCTAAGGTAAAGTAATTCCACTGTTTTTCCAGTAATTTCTAGCAGTGGCATACATATGATTTGGCTAAATGAATTCAAAATCATTTAAAAATTCCATAACGACATTAAATAAATATCTAAAATGGTAGTGCGTAAAATTATGTATGTATATATTCGGCTTTTATGGACCTAGGCAATAGCCCTGGCTATTGCTTGGCCTCTTACTTACACGCTGCGGTTCGTAAAAGCCTACTTTAAGCACTTGGTACATACATTTCAATTTTACCTGACGATTGAGTATTTTTTTTGTTTTTATCAATTGCAACGTATGCCAACTAATAGGTTATTATTAATAAAATTGAGGTTCTTATGAAATTCAAAAATGAAAGATATCAGAATGTGTTTGAAAAAATCGAAAAACTGTATGCAGGTACTCGAAACTATGTGATTTCAAAAAACTTCTAGAAAATATACTGTAGCACAAAGAATAGTATGCGTTTAGTTTTGTTATGGGGTATTCAAACGTTGATATTTATAGGGATATAATTGAGTTACTCACCCTGTGTTCGGTGGATGGATAGAGTTGGTACGTGAAACAAAGATGGGATGAGAGAGGACGGAATTTTTAAATTCAAAATCCGCCGCAACTGTCTTCCCGACTTCATAAGCACGCTCTGTCCTTGAATTCTTCATGTAGATGTTCGTATTTCACAGGATGTTCTAGATTTTCATACATTTGCATGATATACCGGGTGTCGACGAATCTATTAGACAAGTCATATCTTCTAGACCATGAGGTGTATCAAAATAAGATTTGGTATAGGTAAATCGTATGTGAAGAGGAGAGTTTTCACATATTTTTCATTTTCCGGTCACTTCCGGTTTCACCGGAAATGGCTCCGGTTCTAAATTTTCGAATGGAACACCCTGTATATTGTAACATTTTTGGATTTCTGAGACAATTCTAGATCAGAATGTGACATTTTCGAAAGTTTTTATGCCTACTTAATTTTTTCGGAGTCACTTTTGAAATTACTTCTAGGTGGCCATGATCGGAAGTAAACTAATCTAAGGACCTCAGGTGATATCAGAAAATTACAATCGCGAAGTTTTAGTGACAAGTATGATAGATATGAACTTGTCTTATTCATATCTATCATACTTGTCACTAAAACTTCGCGATTGTAATTTTATGATATCACCTGAGGTCCTCATATTAGTTTACTTCCGATCATGTGAACTTAGATGTAATTTCAAAAGTGACTCCGAAAAAAATAAAAAGGCATAAAAACTTTCGAAAATGTCACATTCTGATCTAAAATTGTCTCAGAAATCCAAAAATGTCACAATATACAGGGTGTTCCATTTAAAAATTTAGAACCGGAGCCATTTCCGGTGAAACCGGAAGTGACCAGAAAATGAAAAATATGTGAAAACTCTCCTCTTCACATACCATTTACCTATACCAAATCTTATTTTGATACACCTAATGGTATTGAAGTTAAGACTTGTCTAATAGATTCGTTGACACCCGGTATATACAGTGTGACCCATTTAAGATGGAAGCACCCTTATAAAACTTACATTTTTCAACCGATTGGAATGATTTTTTTTTGTTAGGTAGATATTCAAAAAGTCTATTAGGACACCAAATATCATGAATAAATCTCCATTTCCAGGGCCAACTAATCTGATTTTTCAAGGTCAAAAATCTAAAAAAATTACTAGCGATTTTTTTAGAAAAAATCTGACTACACCACTGGATTTGTGACATTTTCAAATGGGTAACATGTAAATACGTTGAAATGCGTCAATCAATAAAAAAGTTATAAAGGGATGAAATTTGAAAAATATGCCGTTTAATCAACCAATCAATTTTTATTACTGAACAGATTTCGATGAAACTGTGATCAGTAATATTTCAAGACATCCTGAATCCAGTGGAGTATACAGAATTTTCATAAAATTCCTGAACATGAATTGGTGGGTTGATTAAACGGCATATTTTTCAAATTTCATTCCTTTATAACTTTTTTATTGATTGACGCATTTCAACGTAATTTACATGTTACCCATTTGAAAATGTCACAAATCCAGTGGTGTAGTCAGATTTTTTCTAAAAAAATCGCTAGTAATTTTTTTAGATTTTTGACCTTGAAAAATCAGATTAGTTGGCCCTGGAAATGGAGATTTATTCATGATATTTGGTGTCCTAATAGACTTTTTGAATATCTACCTAACAAAAAAAAAATCATTCCAATCGGTTGAAAAATGTAAGTTTTATAAGGGTGCTTCCATCTTAAATGGGTCACACTGTATGTTTCTGCAATATTTCTGAAATAAATATGTGGTTTATGGGTGTGTTCATCATCAGCCGAAATATCAAAATAATGTTCCATTAATTGAATCAATTAATTGAATAATTAATTAGGAAAAAAGCATGGATTTTTTTTTATATTCTTATTCCAGAACGATTCAAGGCTTGTGATTGGAACAGCTGTTCTGTATAGGTCAAATCTGATGCCTTATTCTTGAATGTCATGATGTGAAATGAGCGTGTCTTGGGGTGATCGATAAATGCCGACCTTGTGAAAATTTTGAATTATGAATGTACTATTTAAAGTACATAAACATAGCGGTTACCAGGAAAGAGCAAGGTGCGAGGCGAAAACAGCGTGCATTTTGTGTGATAGGTGGGGTTCTAAAACTAAATTATACAGTGCGGATCCACAAGTATTTTTGTTGAATGAACTTACCATGGTGTCGTTCCACCACATGTGCAGTCTATAGTTTCTCAATATGGCAGAATGTTCGTTTACATGGTCTAAAGCTAATTTAACACTTGGCATGACTCCACGGCCTGCAAAAAAATGTGTGAAAAGAAGTATTTGAAGGAAAAAGTTGATTTACAGGGTGATCCACTTAAGACCGGAGCAATCTCATAGAATCTATAGTTTTCAACCGATCCAATTTCTTTTATTGCAGCAACGATCTACTATCAGGGCAAAGCAAATATTTGCTTTTTTTGCTCACTTCCCGGACGCTTTTTCTTTGAGAAAGTAGCATAGCTCGGCCTGGAATTTTGTCTACTCGTTCAAAAAAACAATATCTTCCGGACATGTTACGTAATAGTATATTACTATTTCCAGAAATGCCACTAATTTTCTTGAAAAAAAAATCGTTAATGATATTTCGCACTTTTAAAAATGATAAAAAAAGTATGCCTTGAAAATTGGAGTTATATTTTGATAATCTGTGCGACCGTAGATCTTTTGATACTTTCCCAACTGAAAAAAAAATTAATCGGTTGAAAATAGCAGATATAACATAATATGAAGTCTTGGAAATACGCCTACATTAAAATTTGGAGTCAAATCGAAATTTTATTGTTTCCTCGAAAACTAGGCTTGATACAAAAATTACACAAAGGATAAAAAAGTTGTTATTTCAATATAGTTCCCAGAATCGAACTAGTATTTAAAAAATATTGATTCTGAAAGATGGTGATATACAGGGTGTATCTAAATAACACCGAAAAAATTCATGGGGTGATTCTTTGTGATATTCTAGCAAATAAAGCTCATATAAAAATGTGTCCTAACTTGCTCCTTTTTTGAGATACAGGATGTTGAAGTTGGAAATATCAATTGTTTTTATTCATAACCCCCCTGTATAATGAGCTTTCATGGTGTCAAAATTCAGTATGGTTGGAGACCGAGGAAGCCCCAAAATTTCAAAATGGTTCTAATTCGGGTTATTGAGTAGGTAATCTCAATGGAATTTTGAGTCAAATCGAATTTTTATTGTTTCCTCAAAAATGAAGCTAGATACAAAAATCATACAAAGGATAAAAAAGTTGTTATTTCAATAGTTCAATCTAATGAAAATGAAACTCAGAAAAACCGGTGACATACAGGGCTAGTTTTTTTCCCCTTCATCTTCTTTGTTTTCTATCTATTCAAGAAGATTCAAAACATTTTTTTACAATATTCCATATTGGTTTCGATCATATTGAGAGAGTGTTACAATATCTCTTCAAATATACAGGGTATACAGAAATATATTGATTTTTTTTTATATGGAATGCGCTGTATATTTCGATAGATGAAGATCCTTCTTTATATACAGTGTGACCCACTTCTAATGGAACCACCCCTGTATCTTACGTAATCGTTGGGTAAGGATCCTGAAATTTGCTGGAGCGAGAGATATACCAAAAATGCACTGTATGACCAAGTGGGGTCATCTTCAGTGATATACACTGCTCCCCAACAGCCATGAAACTACCCCAATTTCCGGAAAATGATATTAGGAGTCAAAATAGATCGAAAATCACTTCAGATTTGGAATCAGGACACCCAATTTACTAGCTATTCAAATTTTTCCTGAAAAATTTTCAGTTCGGAAAAATGAAATTTTGTCGCATTTTTTATGGAAGCACCCCCGTATCTCACGTAATTGACTTTATCTCTGGACTTTCTCTTCCTCCGGCAAATTTCAGAACCCTACCTCAATAATTACAAAGCAAATTTCAGAATCCTTACCCTCGTCCTTACCCAACGATTACGTAAGATACAGGGGTGGTAACATTAGAAGTGGGTCACACTGTATGTTTGAAATCAGAATAATTTAGGGAATTAGAATTTATCGAAATATACAGGGTGTTCCATTTGAAAAATCCATTTATTTCTGTATACCCTGTATATTTGAATAGATATTGCATCATTGTTAAAATGAGTGAAATCTGTGCGAAAATTTGTATCAAATCAGTTTTGGAATTTCTTGAATGGGTGGAAAACGAAAAAGATAAAGGGGGGTTCACATTAATAAAACTAGCCCTGTACAGGGTGGCCATCTAAGACTCCAGAGTTCGATTTCTCTGTTGTCTTGAGAGATACAAAAAAAATTCATGGATCAAAATTGAAGTAATAAGCGAGCTTCACATTTCAAAATTTCTTTGAATTGAAATTGATACAAGGTGGCCAAAAAATCTAAATTTATAATTTGTTTCAATTAAATGTCAATTGAACACCAATTGATAGTGAGTGAAAAGTTGAGATAGGGACATGTAAACCGTTTTGACGAATAATGAACAGTTTCGACAGAAAAAAATCCTGAACTTGGAAAATCTCGATTTTGCACACCCTATATGTCAGTAACTTTCACTGCTAGACCCTAAGTATGATACGTCGTTGAAATCAGATCTTCAGGGAGAATTCAAAAATGAAATAAAATATAGGGTGTCCCAATGAAAAAAACATAGCTTTGATGTGCTGTGACCTTACGGAACACCCTGTGTATTTCAAAGAAATTTTGAAATGTGAAGCTGGATTATTAATTCAATTTTGATACATGACTTTTTTTGTATCTCTCAAGACAACAGAGAAATCGTACTCTGGAGTCTTAGTTGGCCACCCTGTACATCAATGACACTCACCATAAATATCGATAAATTTGCCCACTGTGATGCCACTGGAAATATTATTTCGAATCTAAGTGCACCAGAAGGAGCTCCATATTACTATTAACAAAACCACAACGTTTTATTGAAATTGATGGAAAGACAATTGAGTAATGAATGAAGAATACCCTGTATCTCGAAAACGAAGCAAGTTAGGGCACATGTTTATATGAACTTTATTTCCTGAAATATCACAAGGAATCACCCCTTGAATTTTTTCGGTGTTATTTAGATACACTCTGAAGTTTTTTTCAAATTGGGAAGTAAATTTCGGAATAACAGCTTGCCACGGTTTCTATGAGAATCAATTGAAAATATTATCTTTTCATTTATTCTTCGAATACATTTTTAGTCGTATCCAACCCTTTCTCGCAGTATAGCAAATTGCGAAACTGGGCCAAACCTTGACCCTTCTTCAGCTATCGAATCCCCAATTTGCATGAAATCGTGTACCCCCACAACGTCCTTGAAGTCCATCCTGCATACCTGTATCCGAATTTTCCACCCCCCTTCCATAGGGAAAGAACCCAGCTATGTAGACGTCGTGCCTTCTGTTGTCCACGTTCGGTTTTTGGAAATCGCAGCATCGCAAAAAAATCCACAGAAGCACAATTAAAGAGTTCACTAAGCTCGGCATCTCTAAAACGAAGACAATCGTTCATTCATAATCATAAATCTCGTGAGAAGATTCATTTCCACTATTTCCAGGCGCATTTCAACTTCTCACTTTTCGATCGACATGGTTTTTTCGTTTTCGGTGCATTTCGTAGGGTTTTTGCGGGAAATCGCGGGGGCTTTGGCGACGGTTTTCCTTGATTTTCTCGAGGCACGTTTTCTCCGAGCTTTATTGATTGCAGGGGTGTTCGTATGCTCGGGGATGAAGGGCGCAGGTCGCTGCTGATTTATTTAATGGGCTTCCTCGTACAGGGTGCCTCTCTTAAAATTTATATAGATATACAGGGTGTTTCATGAGAAGACTCACATAGCCAAATGGTTAATGGGGGAAATCAAGACGAGTTGATGTATACAGGGTAACTCACGGTCCATGGTACGTTAGACGTTTACGGAGAACGGGACATAGGATCATTCTGATATTTTGGTTACTCACGTAGTTGCTCTTGGTCTATCGATCTAAAATATTTTCAGCTCTGCGACGTTGCCGCTTCTATCGAAAAGTAGCAACAACTTTGTTATTTTAAAATGGAGCACCCTGTATTTTATTGCATTTTCAGATTCTCTCTGAAGAGCTGATTTCATCGATGCATCACACTTGGGGTCTAGCGGAAATGATTACAGAGATATAGGGTGTGAAAAATCGACATTTTTCAACTTTAGGAATTTTTTTTGTCGAAACTATTCATTATTGGTCAAAACGGCTCACATGTCCCTATCTCAACTTTTGATCAACTATCTACTGACATTTAATTGAAACAAATACAGGGTGGTGCAGAATTCAGAATCTTGATCACCCGGTATATATGCCCCAATGAGTTTCTAAATACCATTTTTCATTTTAGCCCTTCATATTCGATATACAAGGTGTTGAAGTTGGAAATCAAAAACTGTTTTTTTCGAATGACTCGCATATTTAATAAGATATATTAATCTCAAAATTGGTATATTACTTCAGCACAAAGAGTTACATCGTGTGAGGAAAACAAAACAGAAAATAAACTGTCAAATATTCAAAATACTGGGGGTCAAGTACACACTTACCCCCATATTTTTTTTGTACGTGCGCTAATGACTTCCTATCTATTATTCTTCAAGTGTTCAATCATTTTTGAGTATTTTTTGATGTTTGTAAAATTTCGATAAAATTATTTTTTTTAAGATAATTCGAAAAGTACTGGTTATTGTTTGATGCGTATGCGGCTTACGGTAATCTACTCCTATTTATTTCGTCGAAATTGGAAGAGGGCGTAACTTTTTACGTACGAAAAGGTAAATATGGAAATACCGGGTGCTCAGAGCGAATGACAAGAACACTTGAAAAAAAATTGATAGGAAGTCATTATAGCGCACGTACAAAAAAAATATGGGGGTAAGTGTGTACTTGACCCCCAGTATTTTGAATATTTGATAGTTATTTTTTGTTTTGTTTTTCTCACACGATGTAACTCTTTGTGCTGAAGTAATCTACCAATTTTGAGATTAATATCTTATTAAATACGCGATCGACGAGTGATTAAAAAAAACAGTTTTTAATTTCCAACTTTGACACCCTGTATATCGAATATGAAGGGCTAAAATGAAAAATGGTATTATAAATACCTATTCTGGTTATGTATTGAGATAAAGGATAATGAATATTGTGAAAACATACCTTTTGCTTTTTTGATTTTTCATTCATAACTTATCCACAATGTTGATGATGCCAAAAAATCAGATTCGAAGAACCTTTTCCAAAATATTGTTTCATCTGATCATCTTGATTCGTTTTATTATTTCAGTTCAGTCATATAACAGAAAATCCAATTGTACTCCAGAAGTGAATAATTTTGTTCAATTACCCTTTCGGAAAACACTAGAACCAGCGTATTTAGTATTTATATCAGTGGTTGACAATAACAACGGGAAAAGAATTGTTTCAACCTCCAAACGAAATAAACATAACAAAATTTATCGATGACCTATAGTTAATGATTTCTTGTTCATAACAAAATTCCTCGGATATCAGAATTAAAATCTCTAATGAAAAATCGAAGCCAACTGGATCCCTTCTCTATCGAATTCGACAGTTCATGAAGAGTACACTGGAAAATAAATAATGTTCTGAATGGGCAATAAAAGGAAGTACAATATTTTAAACATTTTTAATAACACAGTGCGAAATATACAATTTACCAGTAAATTGGTACAAAAATAACAGTCAGTATCAGTGCTAAGGCACTCACATTTAAATCTAACGCATTTTTACTTAGAAGTAAATCTTTAGTGAAACATACAGAATATACCACGCAGTGTTGTTTTCAACTAAACAGTACTCGACTATAACTACCGAAATGAGATATTTTTTGACACTTTCCGAACTTTGGCACCAACGTAAAAAATAAAATGGAATTCATGAAATTATCATCAATTTGTACTATAAAAACTATCCCGAAAGTCTCATAAGAAACAAATAAATTTTACAATCTCCCAAATACAAATATAATGCATCAATGTGTGATACATTCTGTATTCAATAAATACAGGGTGTTTCAAAAAAACCTAACCCTCTTGCTAGGGTAGGTGGAACATTGCAAAATAAGTTGGGTTTGCTCAGTAAAAAAATGTCGTAAGGCCATCCGTTTTAAAGATACAAGGTGTTGAAACAGTATTTTTTTTTACACATTTTTTACGATTATGTTGAAACTACTGGCAACATTGTGATGAAATTTTTGTATGGATGTTTGTTGGAATCTGACACATCGCATGCATTTGTTTTTATATCGACTCTCATAGAGGGCGCTAGTTACACGGTTCGTAACGAGTAGTTTTGAACATAACTTTTTTGAGGTTAGATTTTTCAATCCAAATTTGATGTGAACTTGAACATCATTCAATTTCACACCGAAAAGGTACTCTTGGTGAAACTTGATACTGTTTTCCGTTTATGGAATATTTCGATTTGAAAATGATGAAGTGGTAACTGTTGCTGGTATAAAGCTATGTATTAGAGTGAGTATTATGAAAAATTATCACGTATTTATTGAAAACCGAAAACAACAATACATTTCTGATGCAAAACTCATTGATTTAACAATGAATCACAAGAATAACATCGAAACAGATTTGACTAAGAACATGGATTACACAGTTTTGTTGTATCTTGAGCAGAAAGTCTATGCTACATAGGTAAATTCACGTCAAGAGTTGTGAGACATAATTGAACATCACTTGAATGACCTAACAGCTGATCCTCAACTGTTCAGAAGAATAATACATTCTTAAAAAAAGAATATAGAATCGTGTATTCCTCGAAACGTAGGACATTCTGAACACTTACTCTAACTGATTCAATATTTCATGTTTCTAGTCGAATATCTCTTAATTTTCTACTCATGATTCTTTGTTCCATCAATGAATTCAGCACAAGAATAATTTTATTGTTATTGAACCTGAATAAATAGGTGATTGAATTCAATAAAATTCATTTTATACCAGCATCATTACTACTCCATTATTTTCAAATCAAAATATTCCGAAAACGGAACATAGTATCGAGTTCCACCAGGAGTACCTTTTTGGTGTAAAATTGAATGATGTTCATGTTCTTATCATATTCGGATTGAAAAATCTAACCTCAAAAAAGTTATGTTCAAAACTACTCGGTACGAACCGTGTAACTAGCGCCCTCTATGAGAGTCAGATATAAAAACAAATTCATGCGATGTGTCAGATTTCATGAAACATCCATACAAAATTTCATCACAATGTTGCCAGTAGTTTCAACATAATCGTAAAAAAAATATTGTTTCAACACCTTGTATCTTGAAAGCGGATGGCGTTACGACATTTTTTTACTGAGCAAACCCAACTTATTTTGCAATGTTCTACCTACCCTAGCAAGCGGGTTAGTTTTTTTTGGAACACCCTGTATATTGAAACGTTTCACATTGTTTGTGGTAACTCCAATCTTCTACCTATATCATAGAAAAACCTCATTAAAATTAAAAATAATCAATATTCAACGAAAATTGCAATTAAAATTACCTACTCAAATCAAAATAATATTTATGTACACAATAATATTATGATAAAGAATCTCTGTACAAGAAATAAAGAGACTAGAAAAACACCCCTCAATGATTTATACAAGTTTTTCTATGATATACCGATTTACAAAAAAAAAGGTATACACACTGAACGGAAACTGAAAACAAATGAGTCACCCTTTCTGAAATCATCCGGGTTCAATTTTTGTAAGATCAGAAAAGAGCGTGTAAAAATCAGACAAATATTCTAGAAAACACCAGTGAAGTCACACATTTACTAAATGGAAAATACTTACGTTGATTCAGAATTTTTCATTTAGTATGAAAAAAACAGGTAGCGTGTTGAATTTCTGTAACACATCATGTGCAATTTATTTATACCGAAAAAATAACTCACACCAAAAACACTACTCTGTAATACTGAACAATCAAAATCTGTATCTTTCATTTAACAATCACTATCCATAAATTTTATTTGTAAATTATTATAATTCTATTCTTTTAAACTCTGTATATTTCAAAACATTCAATAAAATGTAATAATGTATATCTCTTGGAATAACAGCTGCAATATTTTGATTTTGCAAAAGGCGGAGTTGAGAATTTTCGAAGATAAAATCTCCATTTCTCAATTGTATATCCAGTGTGTACAAAAAAGAAATCTTACTGTAATATCATAGGAACATTATCAATAAATAAAAAAAAAAATCAACAAAACATGGTTTTGTTATCACTTGTATGAAACTTGATATACAGGGTGGCCATTTGAAAACGAAACAGAGACTGAGTAGGTCGCCAGTACGAGATATTAAAAAAACACTGGAACACGTCAAGTACATTTTCGAGGGGGACATCGTCCTCAAATATTTTCAGCGCTGCGGCGTTGCCGCTTCTATCTAAAAGTAGAAACAACTTTGTTTTTTCAAATAGAACACCCTGTATTTGATTGCATTTCCAGATTCTCTCTGAAGACCTGATACCATCGATGCATCACACTTGGGGTCTAGTGGTGATGATTACAGAGATATAGGGTGTTGAAAATCGAGATTTTTCTATACAGGGTGATCAGAATTCTGAATCTTGAACCACCCTGTAGTTGTATCTCTTAAATGTCAGTAGATAGTGAATCAAAAATTAAGATAGGGACATGTGAGTCGTTTTGACCAATGACGAATAAATACAGTGTCATTCATAAAGTCGGCATCATATGGGAAAAACTTTAATTAATGACTCATTTTGAAATTCGAGTTGGACGTTGAGTTTTGCTTCAAAAAAGATGGAAAATGGCCTACTCAATCGGGGTCACGTGACTTTCGCTACATGTCAAAAGTGACATTTTTTCAAATTAATCGCTGAAAGTAGGCTTATTTGTTCGAATATCGAGAAAGTTCACTTTAAAAAGTTGTTTTTATTTAGATTTTACATATGTAACTCGGATTTTATCTTTCTATTACATTTTTTAGATTTCGATATTTTTTAAAAATTTTCGAAATTTCTGTAATATTAAAAAAATTGTAAATTCGATAAAACTACTTCATACCAGTAGCTTCATCATGCTACTAACTTTCAATTACTGATTATCACTAATTACCGACAAAAATATGATTTTCTTCAGAAAATGATAATCTCCGCTTCAAAATTCTGTTATGTTTGATGCAAACATAACATCAAAATTCTGTTATGTTTGAGTCAAGCATTTAGAAACGAAATTTATCAAAATTTATTTTTTCAGTACTGAAAAGATCAGTTTAAATGAATTTCGTTTCTAACGCACGATGTTCTCTGAACATTATAGGGATTCCCTTTCGTGCGCTCCAAGCGATAAAAAAAAAAAAAAACATAACAGAATTTGGAAGCGGGTATTATCATTTTCTGAAGAATATCATATTTCTGTCCATCATCAGTGATAATAAGTAATTGAAAGTAAGAAGCATGAAAAAGTTACTAATATGAAGTAGTTTCGTGAAATTAACAATTCCTCAAATATTACAGAAATTTTGAAAAATTAAAAAAAAATGAAAATCTGAAAGTTGCAATAGAAGGATCAAATTTGAGAAGCATGTGTGAAATTGAAATAGAAGCAACTTTTTCGATATTCGAACAAATAAGCCTACTTTCAGCGATTAGTTTGAATAAATGTCATTTTTGACATGTACTGAAAGTCACGTGACTCCGATTGAATAGGCCATTTTTCATCTTTTTTGGAGCAAAACTTAACGTCCAACTCGGATTCTAAAAGAAGTCATTAATAAAAGTTTTTCCCATATGATGCCGACTTTATGAATGACACTGTATTTATTCGTCATTGGTCAAAACGACTCACATGTCCCTATCTTAATTTTTGTTTCACTATCTACTGACATTTAAGAAAAACAACTACAGGGTGGTTCAGAATTCTGATCACCCTGTATCTGTTTCAATTAAATGTCAGGAGAGAGTGAATCAAAAGTTGAGATAGGGATATTTGAACCGTTTTGAATAATAATGATTTATTTCGACAAAAAAAACCTAGATTTGAAAAATCTCGCTTTTGAACACCCTATATCTCGGTGATCATTCCCGCTAGATCCCAGCTCTCCAGGGAAAATCCAATTGCAATGAAATACAGGGCGTTTCATTTGAAATAACAAAGTTGTTGCTACTTTTCGATAGAAGCGGCAACGCCGCAGCGCTGAAAATATTTTAGAACGATGTCCCCCTCGAAAATGTAGCTGACGTATTCCACTGTTTTTTTTATTATCTGCTTGTGGCGACCTACAGAGCCTCTGTTACGTTTTCAAAGGGCCACCTTGTATTTTGGAAGTGAAGCAGAGCATTGGAACTGAATTCGAAAATTCGTAATATACATTACTCGCCCCCCAATCGATCACAACTCACTAATAATTTGTATTGTCTCTAAATCGAAATGAATTACAACCCAACACGCACACTACTGGAAACATAATGTATGAAAACTTTTTTTGGGCATAATCCACGATGGCTCTTGCTTCATTTCCAAGTAATGTTAAATCAAAAAATAAATAACATTTTTTCCTAATATAACCTGCTAATAAAAACTCTCTGTAATATAAATCAACTCAAACAATAACATACTTTGGTTTCTTGGTCCCTTTATCACTTGAAAACAATATTCAAACAACGTGTCTCGTCTTCTGGTCACCGAGCAACTCGAGATCCAGCCTTTCTAACCTCACAATAGGCATCGGCATCTCCGTTTTCCTCTTGATGATCAGTTTAGGCACAACACCTGCTAAACAGTTCGCCTGCACCACTGAGTAATCCCCGCTCCTCCTGTCCCTGAAATCCTCCTCTTCAGATTCGCTATTCGACAAGTTGTGACAGCGGAATTTCCGCTTTTTTTCGTTCACCTTCTTGAGGTGGAGTTTGTTGTCGTTTTCCCCCAGTTCCTTCTTGATTTCGTATGTGGGGTTCACCGAAGAGCTTTGCACCTCTGGAGACTTCAGATGTTTCATTTGCTGCACCAGCCGCTTGTAGGATATGATCTTCTTGATTTTGTCGATCTCTTCAGCAGTGAGCTTCTTGCTTTTCAAGAATTTTTGCATTAGAATCTTCGATTCCGGTTCGGTGAGAGGGTTGACTGGTAACTTATCTATAGGTTTTGCCGCTGTAGGAATTTGAATATTCAAAGAACTGAGCTTCGATTCCACTTGGTCCTTATAATTTTGTAGCGTATCGTCTGTCTGCCCTTCCAAACTGGGCCCTAATTTGAGTTTTTGCACGTCTATCACAGGCTTGGATTGAACGGTTTTGGTATCGTTGATAAGGCCCCTGAATTCGCTGAAGCGTTGATCGTTTTGATTTTTATTTGATTTCGGAGATTGGGTATCTTCCCAATCGAAGGAGTTGGGTTTGATCGGCGACGATCCCAAGCTCATTTTTCTGGAAATCACCTTGTTTCCTTTTGGTTTCATCAAGCTGAGGTCATCCAGAGATTTTGGTCTCTGGAACCGGATTCTCTTTGGAACAATTGCTTTCTTAATCTCTGGAGGACAATTCAAGGCTCCACTATTGCTCTGACTCGTGTCAAGTGCTAATTTCTTGGACTCTACTTCATCGCCCTGCTTCTCTATGACGACTAACTTTCTCTTCCTTCTGTTGTATTCCTCCAAGCTCAACTTTTTTTTAGGCTCTGGATAGTTCGGTCTTTTACCATCTGGCCTTTCCCTCAATCTAGGATCTTCTAATTTATAGTTTCTCACTTCTTTAACTACTTTTGATTCGGTGGTTTTCGAGGGGACTTCTGTTTCAACAATAGGGACAACTTCTTCTACACTGTCTGAGGTTTTTTGGCTTGGCTTATTGGTCTCGGCTGAGAGAACTGAGGAGGAGGCTTCAGGGCTATTGCCTTTTCCATTATCAACAACACAAACATCTATGCTTTTCAAGTCTGGTGGATCAGTTGGTATCTTAGCCTCGCTTTTTGTGTCACTCATCGAAACATTTTGAAAAACTCGGATGTTTGTCATTTTTTTAGCCTCTTCTTCCTCATCAGGCTTACTTTTTTTCAAAACAGGTTCTTCCTTTTTGACTGATTCGCTGGCCTCAGGATGGCTTTCTTTTTTAATCTCATCAATTTTGATGGTGGAATCTATTTTTTCGTCTTGGCTTTTCTTGAGTTCTCGCATTTTCAGTTTCTTCAGTTTCCTGGCTTTAATCAATTCTTTGAAAGGCACGAAATCCTCATCGGCTTCTTTTTGTTCTTGCTTCGCTTTTCTCATATTTCGAGCATCGATGAGATTTTTGAACACCGATTTCTTCTCGAGTTTGCTAGACAAGCGTTTCGAATATCCCGGTTTCTTACGTGTATTGTCTTTGCATACATTCCTGCGAATCTGTTCTTTGGTAAATTTTTCAATCCGTTCTTTGGTTGAGCTAACTTTATCGTTCAGACAGTGCGTTGGAGATATGGTTCTATCATTCACGTCTTCGCTAGTAGTTATGGAAGGGATCTGTAAGTCGGTATCGTAGGCTTTCCTTGCAGCTTTGGTGCAAATCACAGGAGGCTGGTCCACATCGAGCTTTATCTCTTCTTCCAAGCTCAAATCCATCCCGATGATGATTTCGCTAGTAGTTTCCACGATCTCAGGTTCGGGAGCGACCACTTGAAAGTTAGCCACTTCCGAGATATGATCGTTACTTTCTGCTACGAAATCTTCAATTCTCAAAGGATCGCATCGTTCGAGGGTTTCTACAGTTTCATAGTTGTCATTCAAGTCGACAACTGACGTATCGGACAAGGGGACGACAGTTATCACTTTCTTGCCGTTCACCGTGTTCACAGTGACCTCGACTAGTTCGCCAGCTATGTGTAGCAGAACGCTGGACTCTTCGACTCTGACGACATGTTGATATCGGATCTCGCTCTCATTTGCTGCCGAGGTGATCAGTCTTTCTTCCCAAACCTGCGCGGGAGAATCATCGACAGGATTTTTTGGTGTATCAACAGGTGACTTTGGTTGCTCGACAGGTGGTTCTGGTTGTTCAACAGGTGGTTTTGGTTGCTCAACAAGTGGATTTAGTTTTTCTTCAGGAACTTCAGGACAGTTTTGCTCTTGTGAAGATTCATGATGCAGTTGTTCAGTTATACTAATTTCATCCGAAGGCATATGTGGTGTCAGTTCTGTTTCAATTAATTCTTCCTTTGCAGGATCTATCATAATTTCTGAGCCTTTGATTGAACTTGATTCATCCTCAACTGTTGCTCTTGTAATGGAATCTGAATCTTCAAATGAACAAGATGCATCTTCAATAGGCACTTCTTCAATTCCTACGTCCTTAATGGCATCTGTCTCAATTTCTTCAAGTTCTGATGGAATTTTGTCTTCTGTTTTATCTATCTCTTCCACAATAGTAGTCAATTCATAATGTTCTATATCTCTAGATATCATTTCTTCACTTGTACCTGTGACTACAATCTCCTCATTTACATCACCTGAGGATTTGATTGTTTCTTCAATCAACTCGGCTGGAATGGTTTCATGATGCATTAATTCTTGAATTATCTCTTCATTTTCCAGCTTTTCTGTTACTGGTATTTTTTCATCCCCCGGATCTTCCACTGGCCCAATTACCTCATCTGGTTGTTCGTTCAGTACACTTACAGATGTTTCTAATGATATTGAGTTCTGGTTTTCTGTCACCTCTTTATTTACTTCATCTGCCAGTATCTGACCACCTGCCTGTTCTTTCTCCAATGACATTTGCTCTTCTGTCGATTCCTTCGGTGTATTCCCATCTATTTCTTCAACTTTCTCTAGTGATCCCTCTCGAGTTCCAATCATCGTATGATCCTTCGTTTGGCCTTCTTTGGCCGTATCTCTGAAGTATTTCAGTTGTTGAACATCTTTGTTTTGAAAGCTTTCAGTTATTTGTAAACTATGCCTTCTCTCCAGAGATTCGTTTTCGTGTTTGTTGATATTATTGCCGATAGTGTTCATGATATCGTCCACTGAGAATATTCTTTTCGATCTCTTGGCTGTACTTATCTCGATGAATCTAGAATGACTCTCTGATAAGGCATTTTGAGTGGTTGTTAACCGTGGTGAATTTTCATTTATTTGTTCTATATCAAGGTTTTTAACATCTTGTCCTTCACTATTATTGTTGGTTCTTTCACATACACCGTCTGGTTGCAGGATTGATTCACCAGATACATGATCAGAACATATTTCTTTCAAAACATTTTGAGGTTCTTCTTTTTTATCATCTTGTCTGGATATTTGATCAGTACTCTGATCTGTACTTTGCATCATGTGTTTTTCTTCATCAGTTTTGCCAATATCATAGTGTTCCATGCTGACTTGATCATTGGATTCGATAACATCTGCTACTTTCCTAGAATCTTCGACCTCCTCATGTGTAGTTTCTGCATTTTCACCTAGTTTCTGGACAGTCTCCTCCTTAATGTCTGTTTTGTTATTGCTCCCATCTTCATGGATGACTGACTCTTCTTTTGAATCATCGGCCATTATTTCTGTTTTCTCATCGGCGATTTGCTCAACTGCTTTAGCACTTTCTTCGTCATTTGTTTCGGGAATGTTCTGCGCAGGGTTAATATCTATCGTTTCACTGTTCATTTTGGAGTCACTATTTTCGGTGAAGGGATCGATGAAAGGCATACTCCGCATCGAATCCTCGCTGTTACTGCTCTCTTGTATTTTCGCCAATTCTTCTTCCAGCGCTTTGTTCGGACAAATAACGGATGGATGACTGTACCCTTCCATCTGCTCGATATTAATCGGCGAGCAGTTTTTATCCACGGTTTCCTTTTTGGACTCTTTGACTATCCTTCGGTTGAGCTCTTCCAAAGTATCGGTGATCATTGGCAAACTGTTACCGACTTTCACGTGGTCCTCTGGTTTATCTGGATATTCGGTGCTCTGCGTATGGTAACTGGACTGTATGACGGTGTTTTGGTGTACTAGGACCCTCGGTTTTTCGGTCAAACCATAAGGATTTTCGTTGGGGTGTCTTTGGTTCAGGTCGTTTGGCTTGTTGGCTAACATGCAGTCGGGCTTGATGTGATCCACTATTTCTCCGATTTCCATCTGGCCGTTTTTTTCGATGATGCGGACCATTCCGGTAGAGTCTATGCCTTTGATGATGTACTGGGCGTTTTCGGAGACCTGTAAATAAGCGCAGGGCATTTGAAGAGGAACAATCTGAGTTGAAAACACCAACGCTGATAGACCAATGAGAATTGAAAGACAGCTAGAGTTTTTGCGATAATACAAGTTGTATCTGGCTTATGGTTAGATGGTTAGATGATTGGTTAGATGATGTGAGAATTTCAAAAATAGTGAAAATAGTTACCATAGGTATTCCACTGTCAGAGGTAACGACAGGTATCCCGTTCTCCAGATACTGTATGTCCGAGGCATTGATCATGTAGACGGTCTCGTCGGATTGGTCCTCGCGCATTCTATTTCCGTCTTTGCACAGTCTGCCGGTGCCGTCCAACTGGTTCATTTCCGAGGCGGTTTCTTCGTCTGCCCAGTTCTCTATGTATTGCTTTATGTTGTCGGATACGGTCACCCTGGCTTCGGGCATCTCTTGGGCGGACATTTGGTGCTGGTGGTATTGCGATGGCCTGATCGAAATCGAAAGATATTTCTCAAGGTGCATACTTCGTACAGAAATTCTTAGAGACGACCGACATGAAAGTTGAAACATTGACAGAATGTACACATTTCATACTCGTGGAGCATTGAAAACTACCGCCCCTGATGGGCTTATGAAATTATATATATATAAATCCTTTATTGTAGTCATTGACTAATTTACATTTTCCATTTGAGGTTATTATTTCGTCCCAGAAATATCAAAAACATGTATATATGGATACGGTCACCCTGGCTTCGGGCATCTCTTGGGCGGACATTTGATGTTGTGTTATTGGGACGGCCTGATCGAAATCGAAAGATATTTCTCAAGGTGCATACTTCGTACAGAAATTCTTAGAGACGACCGACATGAAAGTTGAAACATTGACAGAATGTACGCATTTCATACTCGTGGAGCATTGAAAAATACCGCCCCTGATGGGCTTATGAAACACTGACAGTGTGTAGGCATTTCACACTCGTGGAGCATTGAAAACTGCCACCCCTGATGGGCTTATGAAATTATTTCGCCCCAGAAATATCAAAAACATGTATATACGGATACGGTCACCCTGGCTTCGGGTATCTCTTGGGCGGACATTTGATGTTGTGTTATTGCGACGGCCTGATCGAAATCGAAAGATATTTCTCAAGGTGCATACTTCGTTCAGGAATTCTTAGAGACGACCGACATGAAAGTTGAAACATTGACAGAATGTACGCATTTCATACTCGTGGAGCATTGAAAAATACCGCCCCTGATGGGCTTATGACACACTGACAGTGTGTAGGCATTTCACACCCGTGGAGCATTGGAAACTACCGCCCCTGATGGGCTTATGAAATTATTTCGCCCCAGAAATATCAAAAACATGTATATATGGATACGGTCACCCTGGCTTCGGGCATCTCTTGGGCAGACATTTGATGTTGGTGTTATTGCGACGGCCTGATCGAAATCGAAAGATATTTCTCAAGGTGCATACTTCGTTCAGGAATTCTTAGAGACGACCGACATGAAAGTTGAAACACTGACAGAATGTACGCATTTCATACTCGTGGAGCATTGAAAAATACCGCCCCTGATGGGCTTATGAAACACTGACAGTGTGTAGGCATTTCACACTCGTGGAGCATTGAAAACTACCGCCCCTGATGGGCTTATGAAATTATTTCGCCCCAGAAATATCAAAAACATGTATATACGGATACGGTCACCCTGGCTTCGGGCATCTCTTGGGCGGACATTTGGTGCTGGTGGTATTGCGACGGCCTGATCGAAATCGAAAGATATTTCTCAAGGTGCATACTTCGTTCAGGAATTCTTAGAGACGACCGACATAAAAGTTGAAACACTGACAAAATGTACGCATTTCACACTCGTGGAGCCTTGAAAACGACCGCTACTGGACATAAAAACAAGAATTGGAAATCAGTACTCCTAATAAGATAAAACTGTGACTGTGATACATCACTAGAAAGGAAATTTTATGCTGATTTCAAAGCTGTGAAAATCCAATATGGCGTCCATAAGAAAAATCGAAATCGTAGGTGATATCTCAGAAATTTGACATTTTCAAGAAAAACTGACAAAACCATTGAAGAGAACACCAAAAATTGCTATGAGAATGTTGAAATATTTTTTTCATAAAATCAATAGTTTCCGAGGTATTCGAACAAAACAAAAATACAAGATTTCATTTTTCCTCAAATAACTCAAGAATGACTGGAGCCAGCCTGGATTTCTTGATAGATCCTGATTCAACCTTAAATTTGCTACAACTTTGCTAACTTTAACCGTTTCTCTATCTCTCACAGTTACAGAGATCCCAATGGTGAGGATCGAATTCGGGACACACTGTACACTTTTTAATGGTTCATGAATGAATCGCGGTGTCTATCGATTGCTATTCAGTCTGAAATCCACACCAATACGAATCCTCACCTGCAATGCTGATAATAGTCCTGAGCGACAGGCCCCGCCCCCCTGCGGTGCTGGTAGTGCAGCGCGTACTCCGGCGCGCCGTACTGCCTCGGATGGGCGGGCATCGCCCCGTACCCGGGCGGCATCGCCCCGCCCTCCTGATACGCCCTCCTGGGCGACCCGCCCTCCTGGTACGCCCTCCTGGCCGATACGTCCTCCTGGTACGCCCTCCTAGACGATACGTCCTCTTGGTACGCCCTTCTGGGAGATACGGCGCGCTCGTGTTGTGGGAAGCGCTGGGCAGCTTGGGGCGAGCGGGCGTAGCTGCAGCTGGGCGGGTAGGCGGGGTAGGCTGCGGCGGGGTGGGCGGGGTACATGTTGTAAGGGTTGGGTTGTATGCTTGTGTAATTGACGTACCTTCGGGACAAGGGAGAAATGTGATGTTGATGTGACAATCAATTGGCCGGGGGCCAGATATCGGTGTGCAGGTGGTTAGACGTTAGATAATAATAATAATAATAATAATCATAATAAATTGAACGTGTGAAGAAGTCCATATTGCTCAAAGTGGAGTGGTAGTGTTTAAAGGAAGAATGAATCTCGAAATCATCTCCACGACATTTAATGGTTGAAAAGGGGGGACATGTTTCGGGCTTATAATAAGCCCATCATCAGCCAAGGTTTAAAACATCCTACAAAACAGGAATGTCGTTAGTTTTAAACTGGACCAGAGATATTTTTATGGACAAATTTCCCTGTTAACCTGACGAGTATGCACTGATGATGACTTAACAGTCGAAAGCGCTCTCTATATACTGGGTGGCGCCACCTACATATGTCTTTTGAGTATTTTGAAAAGGCATAACTTTTTGTGCGTACCTGTGTCACGTTTTATTGTAGAAAAATAGTTTTCTCGAACAATGTTGTGTAAAAATTATATTCCTGGTAGAGGTCGCTGCGAGCAACTGTGTTCGAGTTATTGAGATTTGAAATAATTAATGCGTTTGAATTACTTCTATAGGGCTCGTTAGTCGCCTCTGAGTAGTAAATATCAGAAAAGATACGCCAGTGCATTTTTCTTCATCCATTCAATATTCTTCTACATTCAACATATTGGGAATATCAGCAAAAAATGATTCTTACTTCTTTACACCTACTTTTTTGGACTCTTCCAATTCAATGAAAGATTCCCTAATCATCGACTGCCGAATCACCAGACATTCAGAAACCTTTTTCAGCGTCTTATGAAGTCTGGATCCTTTAATAAAGCTCTAGTGATAGGTAGACCGTTGACTACTAGGAGTCCAAAAATTGAAGAAGCTGTTCTTTAGGCAATCGAAGAAGATCTTACGGGCCCCATAATTCAAATGTATCGATTATTCCAAATCCCATTAACTCAAAAACAGTTGCTCGAAGCGACCTCTAGCAAGAATATATTTTTTACACAAAATTGTTCTAGAAATCTATTTTCCTACTATAAAACGTGATACAGGTACGCACAAAAAAGTTATGGCTTCAGAAAAACTCGAAAGACATGTAGGCGAAAGAGACAAATTAACATACAATTTTATATTGTCATTGAGAAACACCCCTAGATACCAAACTTCATTCGAAAGTCATAATTATTTTGAAATTTATTAACAAAAAACGAAAATAAAAATTCAACTTTGACACTCTGTATCTCAGAAACGAATAACTTTCGAACATATATTCATGCCAACTTTTCTCCTCATTTCGACGTCAGCAACATGCTCCTGAATTTTCTACACGTACTTAAAAACACCCTGTATACACGTGCACACAGCCCAGCAACCCTCAATTTATCATACATCCAAAATCACAAAAATGATTATTACCAGTATCACCCCCTCTAGAAATTCACCTTAGGATCTCCCTCGTATCTCTCTCACCTCTGGTTTTGAGGGGTGTACATCCCCCGTTGCTCCATCGACTGATACGCCATCTGGGACTCCTGCAGATGATGGTCGCTCATTATCGACCTGGCCATGCTCGGATTGATCCTGCGCAGCTTCGACAGGAAGTCGTTGCCCTGCGGCGAGTACTTGGGCAGCTGGTGTTGGGCGTACTTCTGGTGGGGCGACTGCTGCTGCGGCTGCTGTTGCTGCTGCTGGGGATGGTGGTGGTGGGGGGTTGTCGACGCGTATTGGGGCGGGTATTGCTGCCCGGGCGGCTCTTTGGGGAAATACTGAGATTCGGGTTTGTACGCAGGGTTGACCTGGGGATGAAGTATGACGTGGCCGTTATTCGATTTGAGGTAGCTGCATTTGACTTATAGTTATTGTTAGAGAAACTAATATGTTAATTAGTTTCTATTAGGGTCCCTTGATACAAAGTGACGTATCCGTACGTTTCAATAGGGGCTACTATTGAAATGATATGCGTTGGGGTGGTTGTGACTCAAGGGGGTTGGTGGGGGTATTTCATGAGACAATTTATTTTCCACTTTATATATTATATAAACAGTTATGAACCATTCGTGATATGTATCTCATTTTGTACATGAGTTACATCAATTCTAAGCTTTCAAATTGTCATCACCCTATATATGGCAAACCGGACATTGTATCAGAGGAAATCATATGAATCCTCATGTTGATGATAGTGGGTCAAATAATTGGCCAATTCTAGCCGTTTGTTTTCAAGTTTTCAGTGAATGAGTAAAAATCGAAATTCTGATATTTTCAATATTTTTCTATTCCCATGAATATTACCTTGTCATGATGGAATGCAATACCCTGTATGTGATATTATTATCTATTCGAATAGAGGGATTTATGAGGTAGAAATTAGACGTGGAGCGTTTATTTCCACTGAAGATTTATCTAAACAGCCAACATCAAATGATTGACACCTTGTAGCTCGAAAACTGGTCATAGGATCGATCTGCACATTGGACTGTGTGATAAGGACGATAATATCTGAAACATATCAAATTTTCAGAAAAATTAGCCGAAAGCCATTTTCCGTACTGAATGTCCGGGGTCCTTTAAATTAGTCAACTTTTCATAAAATGCAAATTAACCTGGAAAGTGAAGTGACCGAATGGAGAAAATTGATGAATACACCAGCAAAATATTCGAGGTGAAACTGATACGAAATCACATATACTTTCTCATTGTGCCTATAATTATTCACTCCACAAGTTTCTGGATGCATTTTAGTAGAAACAGGTATGATCAAAACGAAGGATTAAAAGAAGAGGCATATGCCCTACCATTCAAAAAATTATACCTTTATTCAGGAAATATTAAGTGTTCGTGAAAAACTGCAAAAATGATTCCCAACTGAAAATATACTGCACACATTCAGGTGCAGGGGTATACAATGAAGGAACAGGGAAAGAAATTTCAGTTCCTTTGGGCGAATATGCCTCAGTGTTCCAGGCAGAAGTACTTGCAATACTCACCTGTGTCCAAGAAAACCTAATTATGAGAGGTCATAGACATAGATCACTATATGCTCGGACAGCAAAGCTGCAATACTGGCTTTGCAATCCAATAGGATCACATCCAATTTGGTGTTCGAGTGCAGAAAAGCCTTGGAAAACCTGGCAAAATCAAGAAAAGTCAGCCTCATGTGGGTTCCGGGACATTCGGGAATACCCGGAAACGAGGAGGCAGACAGACTGGCAAAGATCGGTTCAGGACGGATCCCGGTCGGACCGGAACCAATCTTGGGAATACCAAATAGCCTGGCAATGTCCTCTATAGAGGAACAGCTGCAAAAGCAATTCCTCAAAATATGGAAGGACACACCAGGAATGAGACAATCGAAGCTCCACATAAAGGAACCTTCGAAGAGGCTCGCAAAAGAGGTTTTATTCCTAAACAGGCGGAACCTTAAAATGGTAGTGGGGCTCCTAACGGGGCACAACCACCTCAATAGGCACCTAGAGTTTATTGGGATCAAGGATGACCCCCTTTGCAGATGGTGCCTGGAAGATGACGAAACGTCATCACATGTCCTCACTGAGTGTCCAGCACTGACGCATCAGAGGAGGGCTGTCCTTGGCAACATAATCTTGAGGCCAGAGGACGTAAAAGAGATTCAGCTGAGGAAGCTGCTGAACTTCTCCAAGGCAGTCGGCATACCCAGCTGAATGTTGTAACATGTGGGCGCACAATGGGCCCGAATAAGGAGGCCCACGTGCAGGGGGTTCACCCGCCCACCAGTGCTTCGAAGAAGAAGAAGAAGAAGAAGACATATCAGCACATTAGTTTAAATACCTCGAATCTTTCCTGTCGATAAGAATTGGGAAAAAACCGTTTTTGCTTTGGAAAGAACGCCATCAGTTTTGTTCGATAAGCTGAATTTCGACAGTTTATTTGAATTTGGATCTGGAACGTTTAACGCGAGTTTAACGTCAAGCTCATCTTACTTGAAAACTATGGTTTTGAATTAGGAACGACGTAATGAGCTAGAAATTTTTTTTTCGCTAAACAAAACAAAACACAGTTATAGAAGCTTCTCAAATGCTCCACCTTCCACTTCTCAACACGATTCTACGCATTCCTTCAGATTCTGAATTACTCGCGAGATGTCCTGCGCAACTTTCCCCTTATTCAACCGACCTCGTATCTCTTATAAAAACTGAGATCCCTATGGTGGAGCTCGAAAAACGGGCACCCTATATTAAAAAATTAACTGAAAACATTTATTTAATGATCAATCAATTGAAGATCATACTGGAAATCTTTGGTGTGAATCTGTTGTCTGCAAGTGACCTCGCCTGTTCGTATGTATGTATTTTGTATGTTTACATATCCTTGCAGATAAGCTGGATTGTTTATGTTATCGTCTTAATCAGTCGATAAAGAACTTCACTATGATAAGCTGGATTGTTCATGTTATAATCTAATCAGTGGATGAAGAACTTTACTATGATCATCAAGTCAGTGGAATTGAAAATATCAAGAGTTCGACATGGTCGTATCAGAAGAAATTCGTCGAATCACATTGATTTCGTGTATCTAATATATCGATTTATTTGTTATTTATTTATTGAAAATGTGACTTCCAGTCAGAATCAAGTTCTGGTATAAGGAAGTATAGTTAACAATAATACCTAAAACTATAAAATTATAATAAACTCATAAATAATATAATATTTGAATACCTACATTAAGTATTAAATTTGGACAAATCATCTCATATTGGTGAGCAACAATCAATTTGAATATGAATCAAAAGTTGAAAAGAAAAAAATATCATCAATTTCGTTCAGAAATGATAAATTTCTCAAGTTTGTATTTGATTTTTTTTTGTATTTCTGCAAATTTTTCATATTATCTGTTAATTTGTTATATTCGAAAAGAGCAGCGTGGGTGAATCTTTTTTGGCCTATAGTAGAATTAGCAATATCAAGATGAAATACACCATGTTGTCTTTTGGTAATCATGAATTTCATTGTTTCGTGTTAAAATCTTTTTTTCTGTGACGGGAAAAAAGTTTGGCATTTCATCTCTGTTGGCAGGTTATAAAATGTCACTTTTCATAAATTACTTTTTTCCCGTGGGAAAAAAGTGAGTACTTTTTTCCCGGATATATATCACATATATATACTCTGTTAATGGATTTTGTTGTGCTATAGTTCCGAAAAATGAGTCAATAATACCGTCTCCGAGAAAGAACTGCAAGTCCTTTTATCTTCCATTCGACTTCGCGGTTTCGTATATTACTAAACAACTACTGAATTCGCAATTTTTTAAAATCAAATCACAGAATTGAACTGACAGAAGTGACATCAGATATTTGATTACTTCAAAAGAATGATAAAGATGTCTATAAAACGCAGGTGTCCCTACTGTTAAAAACTTGAAATTTCACGTCGATAATTTTCACATTTCGAAATAATGTAATATCTTCTCAATATTGATTCGTCCTTCCTTCTGTCACAGAAAAAGATAGTGTATTATACACGGGAAAAATATTAGATTTTAGCTCACGGTTTTTTGTCTCCCTCCGCTACGCGTCGGGAGACAACACAACCTGGAGCTAAAATCTACTACTTTTTTCCCTTGTATAATAAATAACTATTATTCATGATATTGTATGTAATTTTCATATTTTCTTCTAATGAGAATGATTCAGTTATTTTATATAAATTGGTTTGTTGATGTATCATATGGTAAACGATACAGTACTTTCAATGTCTTTTTATATAATGCAGATATTTTATATCGTACTGAATCTCAGATGGGAAAATGAAAATTTTTATTTGGCCTATTAAAAATCTGGAAAAATTCACATAGACTAATTTGATGTCGAAATGAACGAATCTGTGGTGAAAATTGGCAAATTTTGGAAAATGAAGACGTAGTAGCCTACCGGAGTGCACCTATTGGCAATAAAAGCGGAAAGCTGACTTTGAGCGTCGATATCTCAAAAACTATCTGCCATATCGGGCTGATCATGGTCTCATCGATTCAGCGTGTGATTTTCTACCATAAAAGCGATAATTCGCGTGAATTTCCGCACTGGCACTTTCTGCCGTCCGAAGTTAGCTCGGTGACCATATCGTACTGAAGTCTCAGGTGGGAAAATGAAAATTTTTATTTGTCCTATAAAAAATCTATAAAAATTCCCATAGACTAATTCGATGTCAAAATGAACGAATCTGTGGTGAAAATTAGGAAATTTTGGAAAATGGAGACGTAGTAGCCTACCGGAGTGCAAATATTGGCAATAGAAGCGGAAAGCTGAGTTTCAGCGCCAATATCTCGAAAACCATCTGTCCTATCGAGCTGATCGTGGTCTCATTCGATTCAGCGTGACAATTTCAACTGAAAAAGCGATAATTCGCGTGAATTTCCGGCGTTTTCTGGCACTTTCTGCCGTCCGAAGATAGCTCGGTGACTGTATCGTACTAAAGTCTCAGGTGGGAAAATGAAAATTTTTATTTGGCCTACTAAAAATCTGAAAAAATTCATATAGACTAATTTGATGTCGAAATAAACGAATCTGTGGTGAAAATTATTAAATTTTGGAAAATGGAGACGTAGTAGCCTACCGGAGTGCAAATATTGGCAATAAAAGCGGAAAGCTGACTTTCAGCGCCAATATCTCAAAAACTATCTGTCCTATCGGACTGATCGTGGTCTCATTCGATTCAGCGTGTCATTTTCAACTGGAAAAGCGATAATTCGCGTGAATTTCTGCCGTTTTCTGGCACTTTCTGCCGTCCGAAGATAGCTCGGTGACTATATCGTACTGAAG